CCAGCCCTTCCTCTGCACCCTCAGCCCTTCCTCTGCACCCCCAGCCCTTCCTCTGCACCCTCAGCCCTTCCTCTGCACCCTCGGCCCTTCCTCTGCACCCTCGGCCCTTCCTCTGCACCCTCGGCCCTTCCACTGCTTCCCCAGCCCTTCCTCTGCACCCCCAGCTCTTCCTCTGCACCCTCAGCCCTTCCTCTGCCTCCCCAGCCCTTCCTCTGCCCCCCAGCCCTTCCACTGCCTCCCCAGCCCTTCCTCTGCCCCCCAGCCCTTCCACTCCCTCCCCAACCCTTCATCTGCACCCCCAGCCCTTCCTCTGCCCCCCCTGCCCTTCATCTGCCTCCCCAGCCCTTCCTCTGCCCCCCAGCCCTTCCTCTGCCCCCCAGCCCTTCATCTGCCCCCCAGCCCTTCCACTGCCTCCCCAGCCCTTCCTCTGCCCCCCAGCCCTTCCACTACCTCCCCAGCCCTTCCTCTACCCCCTCAGCCCTTCTTCAGCCCCCAGCCCTTCCTCTGCACCCTCAGCCCTTCCTCTGTACCCCCTGCCCTTCCTCTGCCCCCCAGCCCTTCCACTACCTCCCCAACCCTTCCTCTGCACCCCCAGCCCTTCCTCTGCCCCCCAGCCCTTCCACTGCCTCCCCAGCCCTTCCTCTGCCCCCCAGCCCTTCCACTACCTCCCCAGCCCTTCCTCTGCACCCCCAGCCCTTCCTCTACCCCCCAGCCCTCCCCCAGCCCTCCCTCTGCCCTCCCTAGCCCTCCCGTGGAGCAGGGCCTCTGGAGGAAATATGGCCGTGCCCCTCTCAGCGCCCCCTTTTTCCAGGAGAGCAGGAGCTCTCATCTTTCTTCCTTTGACTCTTGATCCTTGCCCACTGCCTTTTCTTTATTCTTCCTATTTCCCTTTGATAAAGGGGCCGCGCATGGTCAATGAGATTTCTCTTCCATCATCACACCCAAACCCCGCCAACCAGCCTTGCCCAGAGTGTGCTGAGGGCAGTCCAGAGGCCGCCCTTCCCGCCCCCTCCGCCCAGCGGTTCAGGCACCTCTCTCTCCTCACAGGCAGGCGAAGGCCGGTGTTGTCCCTCGACCAGGAGCAGCTGCTGGCCCAGGAGCACCGCCTGTCCCGGCCTGGCTCTGCCGGGGAGACGTCGCCGCGGTGCTCCTCCTTCAGCCCCCCGGCGGCCACCTCGAGGACCACTTCCCCGGGGGCCCGGCCCTCCAGCCGCAGCCCCCTCAGCCCCTTGGACACTGAGACTTTCAACTGGCCCGACGTCCGCGAGCTCTGCTCCAAGTACGCCTCCCAGGACGAGGCGGCCCAGGCCCAGGGTGGCCGGCCCCGAGGCCTCCCTGTCAGCCGGAGCTGCTCGGTGCCCAACATGGTGGAGCCGCCGCCGGCGGGCAGGCTGGGCCGCTGCCGCAGCCTGAGGGCCAGGAGGGGCCGGGGGGGCCCCGCAGCCGCCCAGCCCCAGCCTCCCGGGGGGCTGCCCAGCAGCTGGCCGCACGGAGAGGAGGACCTGCACGTCACCGCGGATGTCGCCCTGGAGAACAACCGGAGGGTGATCGTCTTGGAGAAGGGGCCCCTGCCTGGCCCCGCTGCGGGACCCGGCTCACCAGCAGCCGTGCGGGCGCAGGGCCAGGATCTGCAGGCGTCTGCAGAGAACTGGCCGAAGGAAGAGGATCCCGGGGACCCAGTGGACCCGAGCCAGCAAGGCCGAGTGAGAAACCTGAGGGAGAGATTCCAGGCCTTGAACTCTATAGGTTGACTCTTGAGTTGGGGAGAGAGGAGCTGGGGGATGGCTCCTTCCAGGAGACTCGCCCCGGGCCTCCCGAAAGGCCGGCCGGCCGGGAAGACTGCGCTGGCGCACTCAGCCAGTGCCTTCACCTGCGGTGACCGCCCTGCACTGCCCGGCCTCACAGTGGTCTTCCCCCAGGCCCGTGTGGCCACTTCCCTTGTAGCCTCTTCCCTTGTATATAGTTCTTCTCTGATAAGAAGCCAAATATTTAAGCTCCCCTCTTCCCGGGAGAGCATGCCCCGCTCAGGCCTCCAGTGTGGGCTGGCCACGGCTAGACGGAGGAGATGGGCGCAGGTGGCGGGAGAGGCTCTGCTCTTGGGCTGTGCCTTTCCTTGGCATCCAGGCCGGAATGAGGCCCATAATTTATTGCTTTCCGTTCTGTGGTGTGTCTGTGTGAGTGCGTGTTTTCTCCGCTGTTGGTTCCCCTCCCACGAAGAATGGAACGGAATCAGTTCAGGTACTTTTGTGGGTTGTCTTGCTGACCCTGTGGATGTCGCTAATGTATACACATTTCATTATCTGCCAATGGTGCAATAACCACTGCTGACCAACCGACCTGTGTGGCCTCTTTCCTGGGCCTGCTGGGGTGGGAGAGTTGATCTGGCGGGGGTGTCTTAGGGGAGGCGGGCGTGGGGGTGACTTACTGGGCCTGGCTGGGGTGGGAGAGTTGATCTGGCGGGGGTGTCTTAGGGGAGGCGGGCGTGGGGGTGACTTCCTGGGCCTGGCTGGGGTGGGAGAGTTGATCTGGTGGGGGTGTCTTAGGGGAGGTGGGAAGTGGGGGTGACTTACTGGGCCTGGCTGGGGTGGGAGAGTTGATCTGGCGGGGGTGTCTTAGGGGAGGCAGGCGTGGGGGTTGTAGCTTTACGTTCACTCATCCACTGTCCGTGCTCACGAAGCACAGGGACCAGGTCCCCATGGGGGCGGTTGGGGCAGCGGGATGTGTGGGAAGGGCCTGTTCTCGGCCGCTCTGCTCCCACAGACTTCTCTGTCCAGCCCCAGCTTGGCAACCTGTCTTGGGGGCAGGGGCCTCATGCCAGCCTTGAGCTCTTTTCCTCAAGGACCAAAGCTGGACTAAAGGAAGTAAGGGCGGGGTGGGGGGAGTGTTGTGGGGGAGGGTGGTGAACGGGACATTTTTCTAGTGGGCAGTTTTCCACTGTCTGGTGCCCTTTACCCTCTCTCCCCCTCATTCCCAGGAGACATCCTAGGAGGCGGGGATTCTGAACCCGGAGCCTAGAAATGTCTCCAGGCGGCTTGGAACACTGGGTGAGGAGTGCAGGTGCATGTTTATGGGCTGCATCCTTAGTCTTCATCTCTCCTCAAAGTGTCTGATTCAGAAGGGCTAAGAATGCCTCCCTCTTTCTAGTTGGGTTTTCTGCCCTTGGTCCATGGTGGACCTGCCTTGTTCTGCCCTGTTCCTTCTGTCTGGGGCCTGGGAGTGTCCCAACTAACCAGTTTTTCGAGATACGAGCCGTCTCGGCCGACTTTTTGCTTTGAGTTGCGAGCTAAAATTCGGGTTACGAGCCAGCTTCAGATACCCCACCGCTAGTTGGCGCAGCAAACGTCACAGTGAACGCCACATCAGCCCAGCATCACATGTCTCACTCGTTCACTTTAAGATTTGACATACGAGTAATTTGAGTTACGAGCTCTGTCACGGAACGAATTAAACTCGTAAGTCAAGGCCCCACTGTAGGGGGTTGCGGGGCCCAGGTGGTAGAACTGTCCTGAGGGTCCCCACAGGTCTGCTGGTTCAGGGCCTCACGAGTCGTCTGCCTTCGGGGGACAGACTCAATCTACAGGTGGATGCTCAGAGTCTGCTGAGGCTGGCAGAGCCGACGGGCCAGAGATGCCCATGTTCTTCCCGCTGCCGTGTTCTGCGGCCACTTCCTGCCACTGAGGAGAGGGCCGGCTTCTCCCAGGCAAGCCTTGGGTCATGACATTGAGTAGCCACAAACCTAACGGAGCGAGAGCCAGGGGACCCGGGTATTGGTCCTAGCCCTGCCGTTCGCCTAGCCGGGCCACCTCAACTCTTGCTTTTCCCTCATCTGTAAACGAAGGAGGTGGATGATTCGCTGCTTCTCAAACTCCCTGCCTCAGACGCTTCAGCGGGTGGGGCCTGGGAAGTTGTAGTGAGTACTTTCCCCGGGAGATTCTCACACAAGCATCTGGATGCGTCTGGGAACCTTGGGCCAGCTCAGTGGTTCTCCCCGGCTGCCCATTAGAATCATCAGTGGAGTCTTTTGAAAAAATGGCTATGCCTGCATGTAGGGAGCGGCTATAGGGTTAAGCCTCGGACTGACCTGTTGGCAAAGCCACAAACAAGTCCCAGCTTAGAGGGCACAGCTCTCTCAGCATAATTAGGCTTGACCTATGACTCTCCCTAGATCCTATCTGGGTAGCTAATGGGCTGTGGGAGGTGCAGCAAGTGTTGCCAAAACAAGTGAAACTCACAAGGACACTGTAACTGTGGTGACCACTACCTTGTTTACCTCTGGCTATAAAATAAAGGCTCAGCTTGCTGTCTGGCTCTCTGTGGCCTCAGCCAGGCACAGGAGGTCCACCTAGACCCCGCTTATTCTCTTGTCTGTCTTTTTTCTTTTCTTTTTTTAAAATATATATTTTATTGATTTTTTACAGAGAGGAAGGGAGAGGGATAGAGAGTTAGAAACATCGATGAGAGAGAGACATCGATCAGCTGCCTCCTGCGCACCCCCTACTGGGGATGTGCCCGCAACCAAGGTACATGCCCTTGACCGGAATCGAACCTGGGACCCTTAAGTCCGCAGGCCGACGCTCTATCCACTGATCCAAACCGGTTAGGGCTTGTCTGTCTTTTCTAAATACTTTGCTGCCCCCCCTTCAGGCTCACCGAACCCTTGGCTGTGCTGGCACGGCACACCTACATTCCACCCCCGCCCGGGGCAGAAGAGGCCTGGCGATTCTGGCGATTCTGATGTCCAGCCAGGACCTCTGTCCTGAGCTCTGGGGAAAGGCCTACAGCAGGCCCTTAGATGGTTGGATGCATGGCCAACTGAGCTTGAATCAGGGTCCCGGGTGAGGCAGGACGTGGGTGCAGGTAGAGTTGGCCCGTAAGACTCAGAGACAAGCCAGAGAGTCTGGCTTGGAAACGGCTCCCTCCTTCCTTGCTTGCTCAACCAGCCTTCCTTGGCCCAGGGCAAAGGGAGGCAAGGCTTGTCAAATATGAAATGGAGAGAAATGTGGAGCATTATTGATTTATTAGAAAAACTAGTAAATGGGTTTCCTCTGTTTGGTGGAAGCACGTTTGAGCAGGTAGAGGACGAGGCCCAGTAGGCCCCAGGTTGCGTGGTCTGTGCCCAACAGGGTTGCAAAGTCCTCTGTAGCTGCCTCCTCCGCTACGTCCTCCCTGAGCTTGCGTGTCCAAGGGACCAAGCCGCATGGCCCTTGGGCTCTCTGCCCCTCCCACTGAAGGGAGGAGGGGATCCAGGACCAGCCTCCGGGACCCTTGTTGCCCTCCAATAGGCAGGAAGGAAGTGCTGTGGACGGGAGCCTCCGACAGGCCTCCTGTGATGGGTGCTAGTGGGGGAGGGAAGCCTAAGGATCATCCATCCCCACTCAGCCAGAGTCCGTGGAGGCCAGGGGGTGAAGGGGCAGGAGGACCACCCGGCCATGCCCAGAGGGAGCTTCCTCAACTGCCCTGGGAGGAAGCCTGGTGTGCTGGTGTGGACTGGAGCTGTGTCGACCTAGTTTGGGAATTCTGTTAAAAGACTGCAGAGTAGAAAATGGAAGGAGGACAAAAAAACCCAAAACTACCACAATTGCCTTGCAGGGCACCAGGGGCTTCGCCTCCATGTGGCACAGTCTCCCAAAGCTGGGTGCCTGCACTGTCAGCCCAGTTGGTGGAGGGTCTTGGGGCCTGTGTGGTGGAGGGATGTGGGAGCTGGCACTAGGCGGCGGGTCGCATGCAGCTGGCTACCCTTGACCGTCGGGGACCTGGCTGGTTGGGTCCGCGTGCTTCCTTTGGGGCCTTTTCATTCTTGGGGCTGAGATTCCTCGCTCAGGTGCTACTTTGGCACGCGTGGAGGGGGGGCCCTTGTCCCTGGGCTCCCTCAAGACTGGCCTGGGAAACAGTGGAGGGAGACTTGCCAGCACCTGCTCTTCAGCAAGGAACGCGCTCTGCCCAGAGCAGGACATGCCCTCAGATGTACCAGAGGCCTTCTTTCTTGCCAGGTGAGTGTGGTTACCTCACTGACTCCTGCCTTGGTTTCCCCAGGCGTAGAAAGAGGCTAGTGAGTGGTCTATACTACGCTCCCTGTAGGCACAAAGAGGGCTGCAGGGTTAAGTGTACAGAGGCCACATGAAGGCCCTGGCTGCAGGGCGGGACCACCTGATCCAGGGATGTCAGGCTCCCATCGGAGAACCTCCCTCCCACGGTTCTTGTCCGCTGAGGTCCACTTCATCTTGACGTAGTGGTCTTGATCCCCGAGGTGTGCAGAGTTGTCCCGGAAGACTCAGGCTAAGTGCTAAGTGTTCCTGGGAAGGCCAGATGCCCATCCCCGGGTTTCTACCTGGCCTCACCCACTGCCGGAAGAATCTAAGGCTCCTTTTGGGGAGGGTGATGGAAGCAGCAGCGGCAGCCGTAGGGCCTCGTATGGTCTCCCCAGGGGAAATGGGCACTGCCACCAGCTCCACCCCTCTGCGGGACTGAGCCCGTTAAGACACTGGGCTGGAGCTGCGTTGCTTTCGAAGCGCGGCAGGGACATCCCTGTGGACCCAGCCCCCTTCCCTCGGGATGTCAACCTCGGCCGCCTGGGAAGGCCGTCCCTGTGCATCTAGGTTACAGGACCCCTTTAGCTGTGCTTGGGGATGGGGTGACATTTGGTGACTTCTGCACCCGTGTGACTCCCCCAAGACCCAAGGCCAGGGCCTTCAGAGAAGCTGAGCAAGGGGTGCCCCACCTTCATGGCTCTGGCCCCAGCATTTGTCCAGCTGTCCATGGGTTGTGTGGTGAGGGTGGTAACCCCCAGGTGAGGCCAGGCTTGCCATCCCAGGGTGGTAGGTCATACATGAACTTGGCTGCCTATCAGCCGGTAACCTCGGGTGGGACCAGCTATATAGACAGTGCACATTGGGCATTTGGCTTTGGGCTGCTTGACTCCAGGTGCTGGGCTGTCCATCTGGTATCTGGGGACTGTACTGTCTCGAAGGGGGCCTGGGTCTGAGTTGATATTGCTGGTTCAGCTGCTACTGGGAGAGGTCCCAGCGCGGAGAGGCAGCGCCTTAGGCAGTGTCAGGACGTGTCTACCTCCCTCAGGTCTGAGCGCTAGCCCTAAGCTTCAACGGAAGGTCTAGATTCTAGACTCTGGAAGGACCGCTGCAGAGCTTCCTGGCCCTTCTGCCACCTGTGGTGGTGGCAAAGAGTGCTGGAAGCAGCGGGAGGCCCCTTGCCCTTGGGACCCACAGACCTTGGACGGGGGAAGGGATGTGGTGGCCCCTGAGGTGAGAGTCCCAGTTCTGAGGAAGCCCAGCGGGGAGCAGGGCCATCATGTCCCTCAGGCCCCAGCAGCCCCTTTCCCTGTGGGCCTACCTGGAGGCTCCTTCCTCGTGCCCGGGGGTGGGTCAGGTATTCCCAGTGTCCTCTTCCCTTTCTCTGGTTTGGACCAAGTGGGGGGTGAGCCCATGCAAGATCTGCTTTGGGAGTGGGAGCATCTGAGGACCCATTAGCCTCCTGCTCTAGCTTGTATGGGGCTGGGGGCTGGTGCATCCTCAACATAGGGTGGGAGGAGGGCGTGTGCCTGGGAGACCGTATCCTACCCCCAGGCCCCGAGGCCCAGCGAGGCTGGGAGCCTGTGTCCCTGGAGCCGCTCTGCAGATGGTGGGGGAGCAGGCGTCGGGCAGGTGAAGGCAGCTATTGCAGTGCAGCGTGGGCCCGGGAGCCCCGCCCGGCCACTAGGAGCAGGCGGGCAGCAGGCAGCGAGCAGCCGGGCGGGAGGAGGGCTGTGGCCAAGGTCAAGGCTGAGGATGCCCCAGCCTGTCCTGGGCCGTGGAGGGAGGCACTGCGGCACCCGCAGCCCGGCCCCACCTGTGGGGCGCCGCAAGAGGCTACTTCTTTTTGGGGAAGAAGCTGAATCTCTTTTCCTTGTCTTTCTTGCCAAGGCTGGTGTCAGGGCCGGTGACGGAGGGCAGCGGCAGGCTCTGGGCCTTGACGCGGATACTCTGGGACTCGTTGATGGCGGTGCTCACGCCCTGCAGCCAGGACAGCATCTCCTCCTGTAGGGCGGGAGGGTCAGGCCTCACACCTCCCCAAAGGACGGGAGGGAGGCCTTGGGACTGCCGCTTCTGAGGGAGCCTTCTCCATGTGCCCCTGTGTCCCAGGGGCTGGGCTAGGCTGCCCTGCACTTACCTCGTCCTTGCCATGGAAGAGCCACTCGCTGCCATTGCTCAACCTAGGAGGACAAAGGGTTTCCTGTCCTGGGCCACCTCTGGAGCCCCTGCCCGGGCAGAGGGCTGGCTCTGATGCCACAGCCCCTCTCAGGCGCACAGCACCCGAGAGAGAGAAGAATCTGGGCCCTCAGCCTTTTTGATTTGAACAATCCCTGTGGGGCAACTCAGGCATGGAGCTGGCCCCAGGTAGAGGCCCCTGTCCAGCCACTCCTGCCAGTCACACCACCAGGGGAGGGCGGTGGACAGGAGGCCTCACCTCAGTTTGAAGACGTGCTTCTTCTTCTTGTAGTTGGCAGCAATCTCGCAGATGGCATGCCTCAGGGCCAGGGGCTCCTCCCCGTGGTAGGGCACCCCCAGGGCCAGGTTCTTGGCGTCCTTGTAGAAGGTCAGCTCGCTGTTCCTGAGCACACAGTACAGGTGGTTCCAGGACCTGCAACGATGCAGACGGCCAGGTCACCCCCGTCCTGGTCCACGGCTCGACAGGTCCTAGAGCTGCCCCTGGTTTTGATGACACCATTTTTGCCCTGATAAATAGTAATACATTTTCTTGGAAGTAAAAGTCATCTCCATGTAATTTCATTTCCAAGAGTTAACTATTGTTAACATTTCATGTATTTCTAGTCTTTTATTCTATTCACATGTTTTTCTGCTCACATACCCAGGTGGACAAAAGTAGGTTTACAGTTGTGAGTATATGCAACAGAGTTTATTCTTTTTTTTTTTCTTTTTTCTTTTTTTTAAATTTATTGCTTAAAGTATTACAAAGGGTATTACATATGTGTCCATTTTATCCCCCGGCCCTAGACAGTCCCCTAGCCTCCCCTATCCTCCAGTGTCTTATGTCCATTGGTTATGCTTATATGCATGCATACAAGTCCTTTATTTGATCTCTTACCCCCCTACCTCCTGCCCCCCAACCCTCCCCGGCCTTCCGGCTGCAGTTTGACAATCAGTTTGAGGCAGCTCTGCCTCCAGAGTTTATTCTTGTATTATTAATTGTATTTATTTGTATTACCACTGTAAACCTACTTTTGCCCCCCCGTATATAGCTAAAATTGGATTATACTATATATCCACTTTTATGTCCTGCATTTATGCTTAATGTTATATCATGAGGACATCCTCAAGTCCTTAAATATCTCTTGAAAGTAATTTTGAATAGCTGTATGATATCCCATCACAGGTATATAAATAACCCCTTTATTGGTGGACCAGGGGGGTAAACATTCTTGTGCATAAACCTTTGCCGATAACGTTGGTCTTACCTTGAGATACGTTTTTAACAGAATCGTCGAGTCTGAGACCAGCAGCGTACACTTTGCACAGCACCTCCCCGTCCACGAGCACACTGGATTCTCAGTACAGAGCCGTGACGTGCTCAGCGCGGGGTTTTGTTTGGTGGTTGCTGTTATTTTTTTGTTTTGTTTGCTGTTACTTTTTGTTTTGTTGATATATGCCCAGCAAACTGTACTAGCACTTGTACAAGAAACGTATTTGTGCAAATCAAGGCTCGTCTCAGCTGGTGTGCTGGGTGACAACCGCGAGCTCGTAGCTGCTGTGGGCTAACAGAGCTCCTCCATGAGAAAGGGGGAACATGTTGCCATTTCAGAGATGAACTCTGAGAAACCTTAAGCTCCTCTTCCTTCTTCCCCGTCCTCCTTTGCCTCCTCCTCATTCTTGCTTCTCCCTCCCTCCCTCTTGGAGGGCAGGAAGGTGGAACACTAGTAGGGCACGCAGGGAGGAAGGGCAGGGAGGTCGGAGAGAGAAGGTGACCTGTACCGGGCTGGCTGCAGAGCCAGTTCACCGAGCCCAGCTTCCTGACGCCCAGCTTCAGGCTCTCCTCCAGCCCCTCACCACCACCTTTGAGTTGTAGCCCAAGGAAGGCAGCTGCTAAGAAGGGTCTGGGTCTGGGAATAAAATCCTGCCTGGAACAAACGGTTTAATCTGAGCTTCTGTTTCCCCATCTGGAAGATGGAAACCTCAATATCACAGGGCAGTCAGGAAGATTCCATCAGCCCTAACATCATGCCTGGTACGCAGTAGGAGCTCGATAAACGCTACTTTCCACCTTCCTGGTGTACTCTCCACATAGGCAGTACACCTCTTCAGGCAGTGGAGTCCCCGAATTCATTTCTGGAACTTGCATTAGCTTTGGCGTCCCCAGAACAGACTCTGTGTGCTGCCGGCTGGTCCTGGGACATGGCTGGCTTCGACCTCCTTGCCACCCAGTCCCTGGGACCCTGAACAGCGGCCTGAAGGTGGAGGCCCAGAGTCCTTAAAGAGGCATCTCTGGGTAGCAGAACAAACCCAAGGGCGTGACTGCCTCCAGGTCAGGAAAGGACACAGCTTTTGAAGGAATTCCTCAAGGTCATGGAGTCGCTGCATCTACGCCGACCCCACTCTCCTGTATTATAGCTGGGGAAACAAGCCCCGATTGGTAAGAAGTGGGACTTGGTCAAGGATATGCTGTCAGTGCCAAGACTGACCTACCCCGCCCTGGGATCAGAGTAACGGCACTGGTGGTCTCTATGCTGCTCCAGGCCTGGTCTCCGCATCAAAGAGGCATGTTATCATCATCATCTTACAAAGGGGGAAACGAACTTAGGCTGAGTAACTTGCACAAGGTCACAGCATTTGAACTTGGGACCAGAACTGAAGGCAGGCTTTCCCATCATGCCAGGTGTCAGAGGGGCGCCCAGGAACACTCACAGCCAGAGGTAGAGGGCACCCTCTCCCCCAGCACAGAACTATGTTGCCCAGGCTCCCCTCCCACCGCAGCCTCTTCTCCACCCACCTGTTGGATGCCTTCTTGTTGGGCCCCTCCAGGTCATGCTTGCGGCCCAGGTAGCCCTCCATCTGCACGCTGTGCCCGTGGTCCTGCTGGGCCGGCAGCGTGATGGGCTCGTCACCCTCGCTCAGAGGTGTGTCCAGGACCTTGAGAGGCTCTGTGGCGGGCCTCTCATCCCCGCCGGATTTCTCCTCCTGCTCTTCCTTCTGCGGCCCCGGTGGGGGTGGCGGCTGCAGGTCCTGGGGCCACTGTCTCTCTTCTTCCCCCTGCTCAGGGGCACATGGGGGGAGCACACCTTGCTGGGGTTCTGCCCGGGGACGGCTGCTCAGCAGAACTGGGAAGCCAGCAGGCCCCCACCGGAGCCCGGTTCCCTTCTGCTGTGCCCCTCCTGGCCTCCCTGGCTCTGCACCTGCTGTGGGTACCAGCTGGCCTGCTTCCCTAGTCTCTGCCCACGTCTCTGGCTCCATTCCCACCCCCCATCTGACATCAACAGGAGGTTCTTAGAGTGAGCCGAAGGGGCCCCATGGTTCTCTCATCTGGGGGGTTGCGACCCTGCTGGCCAAGCCGGCTCACCACCTGCCCCAGGCCCTACCCTGCCCTGTCACGTGCTCTAACTCCAGCCGAGTTCTCCGTGGGCTCTGGCAAGATTTCCTATGAAGGGCTGCTGTTAGGCAGGGTTGAAAAACACGTGCATAAGATGTTGAAGGGGAACTCTTCTGTTAACCTTCCCCTTGTGTCTAAAACCTCAAAGTGAGGGCGCCAGGCCCTATGTGTCCCCCACGCCCTTAAAAAGGGAGAACCCAGCCTAGTTGGCCCTGCTCCTGCCATTTGATGGGGCAGCGGTTCCCAAGCCTGGATGCCTTTGACATAAAACTCACCTTGAGAACGCGAATGCAAGAGGCCCGGACCCTGCCTTTACGCTGCTGCTTTAGCCTGGAGCGGGTCAGCGCATCGGGCTTCCTTCACAAGCCTTTCATGCATGCTAATGTCGGAGGGCGGATGTCGCCTGTAAGGAGTCCCTGCCCTGGGGAAGGACTGGCTTTGCCTCCCTGCACCTCCCCGTGGAGGGCGGGTGCTCCCGGCTGCCCACGCTGAGTGAAGGGCCTCCAGTGGAGCCACGCGCTGTGTCAGGTGCCCATGAGAGGGGAAGTAGCCCTCCCATTCCCCAGCTGGGCACCTCCTTATGCAGAAGCCTTGTTGATCTGCCCTGTGCCTGCTGCAGGAGGAGAAAGCGGGCAGGCCAGATGGGTGGCTCGCCTACATGTCCAATGAGCACCAAGGAAGGCAGCCCAGCTCAAAGCCATCCGGCCAGAACCTTGTCTCAAAGGCCTGACTGCGGAGACCCTGCAGCGCCAGGTGGGAAGGCCTTGAAGGCCGCCACGCAGCCGTGTCTGAACACCCAAAGGACCAAGGGCATCGACAGCCCAGGAGCTCCCCAGGAGGTAGTGATGAGATGGATCCCTTTTCTACTCCTTACTCCAACCACTGAAGATGCGTCGAGGCCCAGAAGAGCAGACCCCTGCTCCCCACTGTAGCTCCTACAAAAGACACAGTCAAATGCGAAAGAGAGAGATGGAGGATGGGAGGATGTGGGCACTGTCTTGGACACCGGATTGAAGCTTTAACTGAAATAGGTTGGGTAGACGAAAAGTGACCAAGGTCTGCCTGAGATAGCGCTAAGGAATGGAAAGGGAGGCTCAACGGCCATGTTCAAAGGCAGTGCTTGGAAGAAAGATGAAGCTGGTCATGTTTATAGTCCATAAAGCGAGGGCTGTTCAATAAACAGGTATAAGTTGGGGTTCCACTAAGATCTTACTTAAAGAAAGGATAACATGACTAGAAAAGATCGAAAACCACTATCCTAGTCAAATACCTTCAATTTATGAGAAAATCTTTGCTCAGAGAGGTTAAGTGACTTATCCAAGATCACACAGCTTACAAATATTGGAGGCAATTAAGAACGTGCATTCCAGAACTGGACGGACCTGAGTTTCTATCACATCTGTAGGGCTCTCATCCTTTGCTGTCTTAGAACCCCCTGAGAGTTGTGGCCAGGCCACCCTCATTTTCATGCATTTGCACAATTTGCACCTTCAAGAGCACAATGAGCCAGCATTGCCCACAAGGATCTGGAGGCCCAAAGCCTGGGTGTCCCCTAGCACAGAGGAAAGGCAAGAGTAACAGGAGGAGGGCTGGAGCCTGGGTTTGGGGTCCTCCTGGGAACCCCATCAGGCCAACCCTCTGATCTGGTGTAAGGTTTGGGAGGTGGACAGTATTGCAGAGTGAAGCCTTTTCATCCCTTTCCTCTCCACCTGGCCGTGCTGCTCCTCCCCGCACCTGCCCTGGGGTCTCGGGAAGATGGCATGGCAGACATTGGGTGGGGAGCCCGTAGACTCTCACAGCCATGCCTGACCCTCGCCCAGCCTTCCCCTCCTGGGACTGGTCTTACTGGAGGCCTGTGCGTCCACATTTTCTTCCTACACTTTCACTTCCATTCTCCTTCCTTTTGGGAACTGTCCTCTGAAAATAAAGATGCATTTCCCCAGGACTGCTTTCCAACGTAACCACCTCTCTCTGCTTCCTCCCAGTGAGCGCCCGGCCCATTCCCTGGCAGGGGCATCCAGAGACCAAGGCCCCTGTGATCAAAAGTTAACCGGCTGGGTCATGGGTTGGCTTCGGAAAAGGGGCGTTTCCAACGATTTCTTAAGTGCTCTGGACTGTCCCCATGGAGAGATTTAAAGTGCACCCTGTCCTCTCTGTCCCCACCGCCAAGGCCTGAGGAGAAGGCCCAGGGCTGATGGCTTCTCTTCCCCTGGCTGGGGGAGGGGACACCGATGAGAAAGACGGTGGCATGGTTTGGGCAGACAGGCTTTCCTGCCCCAGGTTCCAGGGGTGACTATGCTTTGTGCCATCTTAGAAGAGGGAGTCGGGAAAGAGGGGAGGAGGTGAGTTCTGCGGCCTCTGCAACCAGGCCATAGGGATCCTGCCTTGCCCAATAGGTGGAGGGGTCTGAGGACAGCAGAGCACCAAAAGGGGGGGCTGGCTGAGGAGCGGGGCCCAGAGCTGGGGGCTCCTTGGCTATAGAGACAGGCAGTTTCTGCCAAAAGGCCCTGCATAGGTGAGGTGGTCTGGTTCCTGTCTGTCCTCCATTCTATAGGCAGAAGGCCTGCTGCGCTAGCCCTCAGGCCATTGGGAGGGTGCACGGATTAGACCTACACTGCTAAGCGGTACCCAGCCTAGAGACGGCACCCAGAGGAGCTGGGGACACGGAGGGGGAAGGGCCAGCTGCTTGGAGTTTCTGGGGGTCAGGCTGGGCTGGCTGGTGAGTCTTAGGCCATACGTGGGAGTGAGAGCATGAGGGAGAATGGCCTGGGGGTGAGGGCTGGAATAAGGGAGGTGCTGCCTGCAGCATGGAGCCGGGTTCTCTGGTGGGCAGGGGTGGGGGAGATGTGTGAGAGGCGGGCATGCGCACTGGCTGCTGGGGTCATGATGCCAGGGTAGGACTGGGGACATCTGCTATTGGCTGCTGGTTGGGGGACATGAGAGGATAGAAGGGCACAGACAGGAGCCTTTTATAGGATCGTAAACAGGGAGAGGCCCCGGCCACTGATGGAGGTGGGTGAGGGGGGGATGGCCACCTCAGAATCTTGTAAGCTCAACTTTTTAGGGTCCTGCCTTGCTAGGAAGCTGGCTTGGCGGGGGTGCGGGCAGAGGGTTGAGAGTCTCCTCCCCAAAGGAGCTTCAAGAAAGGGAGGTTATGGGCACATTGCTTCTCAAGAGTGGAAGGTGTCCTTCCAGGCTCAGCCAGCAGGTGGCGGGAGGACAGCACACAGACTAGCTCCCAGGAGGAAAATAACCTGGTTTGTGAACACAGGAAATTGTGGAGGTTCTAGAAGATGCTCAGTGAACCCAGGTACACTAACAAGCAAAGCAGCACAAGTGAGGAGCTTCTCTCGAGAGGAGATGCTGATAAGCGAGGGCCAGGGCATAAGGGTGCGTCACAGAAAGCGAATGCTCCGCCTTAGCCGTCCGATGGTCCTGCCTATGTCACCGCAAGGACTGGGCTCAGGGTGTGTGTGTAGTGGGCCTCGAGGGAGGGGCACGCCGGGAAGGTTCGGGAGGGCTTAGGCAATGGATGTTAGAATTCATAGGGAGGGAGTTTCTTTTAAGAGATGAAAGGCTGCCCTAACTGGTTTGGCTCAGTGGATAGAGTGTCGGCCTGCAGACTCAAGGGTCCCAGGTTCGATTCCAGTCAAGGGCATGTATCTTGGTTGCGGGCACATACCCGGTGGGAGGTGTGCAGGAGGCAGCTGATTAATGTTTCTCTCTCATCGATGTTTCTCTCTATCCCTATCCCTTCCTCCCTATAAAAAATCAATAAAATATATTTTAAAAAAAAGAGATGAAAGGCTACGGTGAGGGATGGAGGAAAAAAATGAAGACTTAACTAATCACCTACCAGATGCCAGATGTTCTACCTGTACCCTCTCTTCCCATCCTCACACCCTCTCTGCAAGGCAGGTATCCTCACCACACCGATTTCAGAGGAGGGACCCAGGCCTGGGGTGGGGAATGAATAACTTGCCCACAGCCTCACATCTAGTGAGCAGAAGGTTGAGATGCAGACCTGCTGCGGGGGGCGGGGGGGTGGGGGCGGGGGGGGCACTATTGCTAGAGGGAAGTACCTGTCTGATGGTTCACAGCCCACATGGGCAGCTCGGTTCTGTAAGACATGTGGCTGGCCAGCTGAGGCAGCGGATCACATCAGAACCACACTGGAAGGGGCCAGAAGCGAGGCTTGGAGCCAGACAAGACCTATTGCTAATGCGGTAGGAAACCACATACCCCTGGGGAACTGCAGGGGTGTGTGTGGGGGGAGGGAGCTGGCCACTTACACCGGAGTTTTACCCTCCACCGGCACCTGGCACCTGACATCGAGGCTCTCCTCTGGGTGAGGGGCTGTTGGCAGGCAGGCTGTCCACAGTTGTTCACAAGGAAAGAAAAAGGGATGGTCTGTTGAGTTGAGAGCAGTCAGAGATGAAGAGATGGCCACTTAGAGTGATCAGAGACAAAAGTCTAAAGAGAAGTTGTTGAATAGGGGAAGAGGGTGAGGAGCTGAGGCTGGGCCAGGCAGTGAGGGTCCCCCGGTTGGTGGTGGGGATGGTGAGGGGCTCCCATGAGAAGTGGGGTGGTGGGGAGCAAAGCGGATCAACATGTGCTCCTGGGGCCAGCTGTCTGAGATGCCAACTGGGGGTCCAGGGAAGACAACAGGAGGGAACAAGAGCAGAAGGCCCCTAGGTAAAGTGAGGGCGATGGAGAGGGGAGTGTGCAGGGTCCCCTTGGACGGACGTGGGGGCGGGGGGAGACCTGGCCCACTGGCGGCATCTGGGCCAGAGGAGAGCGAGGCTTCATGGGGAGCTGTCTTCATCATTCCCACCAGGGTGTGGGCTCTTCGGGCCCTGCCCTGGAGAGCAGGGCTTGCTGGGTCAGCATCAGAAAGACTAAACAGATGACTCGCCCATCCAGCTCCACCACCGTCGAGCAGGCAGCTTCCAACCCGACTCTGAGCTGAGGCCGCCCTGAGCCCACCAGTATTTGGGATGCTCTGAGACACAGCTTGGAAGAAAGAACTCGGGAGGGGCCTTTGGAACAGTGTGGCCAGAAAGATCCCGTCTGAACACAGCACAAAAGCTGGGCACACCCAGCAGTGAGCAGCTGTCCAGCAAGAGCCCAGAGCGAGCTTCTCTGGGGAGGCTGGAGTACCAGGGCCCGGGGCCAGAGAGCAGGCAGACACACCCCTGCCTCGCTGACTCAGGCATCCTGGGGAGGCAAGGACACGCCCAAGTTTAGGGGAAATGGGGTTCTTTCCAGGCTGGTCTGCTCATTATGAGCAAACACAAGATTTGCATTCACTGCAAAATGCGAAGCAGCAGCTCAGTTGGGCCTCGCAGGGGGAGGGGAGGAGGGATGGGGAAGCTTGCTCAGGCAAGAAGAAACAGCTGCTGCCTCCACACCCACATCCCTCCCAGGACGTCAGAGCCTGGGCTCTGGCTGCTGATGAAAGTGCCAGGCTGCCTGGGGGAGTTGCACAGGTTGCCAAGGGGGTGGCAGCGCTGGAGCCAGCCAGGCACTGGCTGAAAGGTGTCCTGTCTCCCAGAAGTGTGGGGAGGGCTGCAACCCAGTGCCCATCCAGCCCCAGGCACCGTCGCTTGCATTCTCCTGCTGGCTACTCTTCTGAAGCCACAGCGATCACAGAAGGAGAGCCAGGATCCTAGTCTCAATGCCCATGCTCATCCCAGTCCTCGGGAAGCCAGCTGCAGGCAGCCTGGGGTCCCGGTGAGAGTGCCATCTGAGTGCTTGGGGGAGGGCGTTTTCTGTGACAACCTCCTGCGGGGCCTGGTAATGACTCACACTGGGCAGCTGCTCTCCTGCGGGCCTGGCGCCCTCGAGTCCTGAACCACAGACCGCATCTGTCCAGGCCTGACTGTCCCAAACCATGAACCCCGAGGACACTGTTTTGTGTCACAGCCCCTAAGAGCACCTTTCAGGCATGTGACCTGTCGCAGCAGCCTGGCTGGGAGTTCCCAGAGCAGCCCCCTTCCCACCAGGCCAGGAACAAAGCCAGGGCGCAGCCAGGAGACATCCAGGGCTGCTGGCCGGGGCCTAGAGTAACTCAGATTCTCTGCGATATCGCTTCTGTCCCGTGAAACCAACACAACATCTCAACGTCAGCATCTCACTCGGATGTCAAGGAGGATTCCGAGGCTCCAGAGCCCGGGAGATGAGGACCCTAGCAGGACCCCAGCCCTTCCCAGGGCCACACGCAGGTGCAGGGAAACATGTAAGGTGAGGGTATTGGGGTGAGTGCGCCCCAGGCACAGAGAGGAAGGGGGCCCCCTCTAGCACCCAGGAGGAGAGGCAAAGGTACTGGCTGTGTCAGGAACTGAGATCCAGCTCTGCCTCTTCCCCAAACAGGGACAGAGGCAAACACCCCAGCCCTTTGCCTCGTCCTTCCCATCTCCAGCCTCACACTCACCAGCACCTGACAAGTGGGAAAACCACTCTCCCGCCCCTCCCTTTATTCAGCACACTGATGACACTCAGGAATTTTCTGTAATCCTGCGGAGGGCTTTATAAGGGCAAGGAGACCCGGGAAGACGAGGCGGCTTCTCTAAATCATGCCGGGAGGTTCCCGAAGAACTCGGGGCGAGAGCCCAGCGTCCTGACCTCCACCCCGGAGTTGGCCTGCTGTCATATCTGCTTCTTCTGCTTGGCCTCACACACACTTACTTACCTGCTTACCTTATGAATGAATCCGTTTTTACCAGAATATGCTCTAATGGGGAAAGGTGAGGGGCGAGGGAGGTGATGCACCACACAGCGATGTGTTTGAAGGAAATAGCGATGCAGGGAATGGCACTCGGAGCCTGCGTGTCCATGCGTGTGTGTGCACACCAGGAAGGGGAGGGCCGGGTGGGGCCGGCAGGGTGGCCGCCTGTGGTGTGCAGCAGTCTAGACGGGCTCAGGTGCCTGGTCTGCTCCCGTCTGTTCCCCCAAGCAGGAAGCCGCATGCACCAGTGATGGGTCTCACAGGAAGCGACACGCGTGGGTCTATTCTATAGGGCACCGACACCAGACCACACACACGGGACAGCAGCCAGCCACCACGCCCAGGCCCACCGAGAGAAGGCCCAGTAGACAGCCGCCTTCCTGGGAGAGGCCTTCGTGTCTGCAAAGGGCTCCCAGCCTGCGTGAGACCCGTTAGGTTTTCTTCTCATATCAGAGACCAACGGGGGAGCACACCTCCCTCGGAATTTCGTGGATCCTCATGGAAACTCAACGCAGGCTGAGACAGGACGGCAGCAGGAAGTGTTCCCAGGAGGCCTCGGACCTGGCTTTTACGGAGTCGCCACTGGTTTCTTCCTGGTGCCGGGCACAGGCCCATTTTCCTGGCTGGAGGGCGGGCTCTCTGAGAGGGTCTCAAGGGTGGGCCCACTCTTCCTTCCAGAGAGACTCAGGTCCAAGCAGGTTTTATTCCCCCGAACCCAATGACCTCCCGATGCTGGATGGAGGCGGCTGACACACATGTAATTACATTTGCACAGACGTACGTGACACAGACAATGGGTGGAGTCATTCAGGAGGTCACAAGGAGCCCGCAGACCGGGGACACCACTGCACACAGACACAGGGGGATGCACAGCCGAAGCGCGGGTGGTGCAGGAGATGGAGGGGGGGGCAGTCCCAGCCCCTGTGTCCACAGTCCGTGCCAGCCCCCAGCGTTGGCGCTCCTTCCGGCGGGGGCTGTCACTGGGAGAAAGGGGCTGGGGCGCAGTCCACCAGAGACTCCCACAGGCCACGATGGGAGCTTGAGAGGGAACTTCTGGGAGAGACCCAGCAGCGGGAGCCCAGCAGTGCCCTCTACTGGACACAAAGGGCTGGTGCAGCTCAGGAAGAGAGGCCTCCGACTAGGCTGGAGGCGGAGAGGGGGCTGTGTGTGTGTGTGTGTGTGTGTGTGTGTGTGTCACAGGAATGTGTGCTGAAGGGCTGAAGTCTGGACCTGACAGGGATTCTGCACAGGAAACAATCACTGTGTGTGCATTTTTTTCTGGGGTGGTTGGTGTGCCAGAAATTTTCACCTAGAATACCAATTTCCCTAAACCCCCAAAGGTTCAGGCAAGCTCACTGGGGCACCTGTAGAGGCAGGGTTCATGCAGAGAGAAGCCATGCAAGGCACATGCTGAGATTTTGCTTTCTTTTCAGCCGCTCCCCAGGGCATTTCCCCCAAACCTGGGTTACAGACTCACAGGCCTCCTGCACCGACCCCCTGGGTCCTTTTAGCTAAGGGACCTCTTCCAGGCAAGGTCCTGAGCCATATGCTCAGGCGACTGGCAGCTGGTGGGTCTTAGTCCCCTCCTGCTCCTCCCCTTAGCCACACACGCTCCTTTTCCACAAGTGGGGGGACTGGCCCTGTGACCCAGAAGCCCTGGGGCTCTCCCCATGCTCACAGGGCTCCTTCAAGTCTGTTCTTGCCCCAGAACCAGCTCCACATCCAAACTCATTGACCAACCGGCCTCAGACCAGGAACGTGCAATGGGGCAGGGGGCTGTGCCTGGGGAGGAAGGGGACTCTAGAGGGGCGGGCGCCCTGAAACGTGTGGCTGTGGCGGGCACCCCTGGGCTGTCTATTTGTGGATGTGTGTGTATGTGTGTGGTGAGACACTGTGTTAAGGATGGAGTGAGGGGGAAAAAGGACCGTGTATGGAAATGAGTCATCCCTGTATACACTGTTTTCCCTGATGTAGATGGTGATGTATTTATACAAGAAAATTTATTAGACTAGGTAAAACCAAACTAATGGAGTCATGTCAGTGGGCTAACATGTCAGTTTCTTCTGGGTCGAGGGGAGGAGGGGAGTCAGTCTAGGAATTGAGAAAACCTAAGTGGAAATGCAGACTGGTCTGAAGGAGGAGTCTGGGGGTGCGGTGGCCGTGCCTGCCCTCGACTTCCGCCCCGGCCCCAGCCGAGCCTAGTAGGGATGAGCAGGTTCTGGCAGCAACGACTCCCAGGAACTAGACAAGTGGGACAGGAAACTGACCGGGGACGTTCTCTCCGTGGCCGCTCGGTGGGGACCTCGGGGACCCTCCCCAGCTGTCTCGCCTTCCTCCTCTTGAGGCCTACGAAGAAGACACAGCCTCTCCTCAGAAACAAGCACCTCTGAGGCCAGCGCCTACCCCAGGCCTGGCTCTCCGGCCCTCCTCCCGGAGCTCATGCCAAGTACCTCCCCATCCAGGCCTCCCAGCAGCCTGGCAGGTGCTTAGCAAGTTGTTGCTTCATCTGCCTTAACTCGCTGCTCCCACCGGCTCTGCCTGCAGCAGGTCTCCAGCCACCCCTGACTTGGGGGTTAGCCACAGCTCCTCTCTGCCCACAAGCTCCAGACACTTCCGATTTCTCTAACTAGTGGCCCAGGTGTGAGAGGTCACAGGTGTATTTTTTAAACCTCAGGGGGGCCCAGCTGATGTAGCTCAGTGGTTGAGCATTGAACTATGAACCAGGAGGTCACGGTTCAATTCAAGGTCAGGGTACATGCCTGGATTGTGGGCTCGGTCCCCAGTGTGGGGCATGCAAGAGGTAGCCGTTCAATGATTCTCTCTCATCATTGATATTTCTCTCTCTCTCTCTCTCTCTCTCTCTCTCTCTCTCTCTCTCTCTCTCTCTCCCTCTCCCTTCCTCTCTGAAATGAATGAAAATATATTAAAAAAGATCAGGGGGCTGTTTCTGATTAAAAATACTCTCCCTTCTCCTCCCCCTCGCAGAGTGCTCCAGCGAAGCCCACCACCCAGCCCTCCCCGTACTTACCCAGTCTCCTCCACGGGGGTCTCTGGGATCTGGCGTTCTTTTAGCTCAAGCTGGGGGAGGAAAAGGCCAAGGGGGTCAGAGCAGCCAAGGAGCGGAGACTACTCTCAGACCCCTTTCTCTAATGGGCTCCCTGTACCCACCACACCCTGGCATATGTTCCTTCTGGGTTACCCCCTCTTGTCTTCGGGTTCAAAAGTCAGTCCTCTCTACTGCTTCCTTCCTACTCCCTGCCTTGCCAGCCTTTCACCCTGTCCTTAGTGTCCAACAACAGCTAAGAGCTCTTGACCTGAGGTACCCTCCAGGCGTGGCCGCCCACACCCAGCCCGGCTCACCGTGGTGGGCTTCTCCAGGGCCGCGAAGCGCTCTGCCCAGCTGGCCGTGGACTTCTCGAAAGCCTCGTGCCTCTTGATGAGCTTCTCCACACTGTCCACCGTGTGTCCGAAGTCCCGGCTGGCCAGGTAGGGCTCCTGGGCGATCAGCCACGCCTCAGCCACGGAGGCATCCCGAGAGAACTGGCACACTTCCAGCACTGCCACGGAGAGCGAGACACAGGCCCCACGGGGCCCAGGGGGCCGTCAGCACCAGCGGCCGCTCCTGGGGACCTCGGGGACCCACACGGAGTTGGCAGTCAGGCATGAGGCCCGCATGCGTGCCCGTGACTACGGACACCCTGTGCAGGGGTGACCTGCCGAGACCACTCCTTCCCTGCGCCAGGCCCCTACCTCATTTCCATCAGTAGTGATGCTTTAAAAACCCATCAGTGAGAACCACGGCTGCCAAGTGACAGCAGCTCAGCAGCTCCGGCGTTGAGCATCTGCCCTCCGGGGGTCAGTGCGTGTCATAGCTACTGGCCAGTTGGCCGTTTGCTTTGGCTTTTATATATATAGATTGGGTGTTACTGCTGTAAAGAAAAGTTATTGAGCCCGGCCGGCGTGGCTCAGGGGCTGAGCATCGACCTATGAACCAGGAGGTCACGGTTCGACTCCTGGTCAGGGCACATGTCCGATTGCGGGCTTGATTCCCAGCGTGGGGCATGCAGGAGGCAGCCGATCCATGATTCTCTCTCATCATTGATGTTTCTCTCTCCCTCTCCCTCCTGTCTCTGAAATCAGTAAAAAAATACAGTGGGGCCTTGACTTACGAGTGTCCCGACTAACGAGTTTTTTGAGATACCAGCTGTCTCTCGGCCGATTTCTTGCATTGAGTTGATAGAGTAATTTGAGTTAACGAGCTCCTTAACGAGCTCGGTCTCGGAACGAATTAAACTCGTAAGGCAAGGCCCCACTGTATACATATTTAAAAAATTAAATAAAACAGCATTGTTGGTGTGCAAAAAAACCCAAAAAAACCCCCCCAAAAAACAAAAAACCCATCAGTGAGAACAAACTCCATTTTGAAAACAAGATGTAGTCTAGACATCTCCCTTTGAGGAGCTCTGCTCTGCCCTGAACAGCCTCTCCCCAGCCCTCGGCTGTCCCACAGAATCGTGCATGAAGAGCCAGGGGACCCGTCCAGGGCTTCCTGGCTCATGGGGCCCGCCTGAGTGGTGGGATTTCTCCACCTTCCTAGTCTCCACAGTTCCTTCTGTGCCCAACATGCCTCAGATCAAACATCTGGGATGCACTAGGGCAGTGATGGCGAACCTCTGACACGCGAACTCATTTTTTTGGTTGATTTTTCTTTGTTAAATGGCATTTAAATATATAAAATAAATATAAAAATATAAATCTTTGTTTTACTATGGTTGCAAATATCAAAAAATTTCTATATGTGACACGGCACCAGAGTGAAGTCAGGGTTTTTCAAAATGCTGACACGCCGAGCTCAAAAGGTTCGCCATCACTGCGCTAGGGCCAGTTACTTCAACTCTCCAAGGATCCCAGCGGCTGGCTCCAGCAGCATGGCCCTCTGAGGGGCTCCCAGAGGCCTGGGCAATGGAGCTTTGAGGATGAGTGTGTTGTGTGGGGGGGCTGCTCTCAGCAGTGGTGACATCACCCTCCTGCCCCGCCCAGCAGGCCTGGCCCCTCCCCTCCAGGTCCCCTGGCTCCCGGGCAGCACTCACACATGCTGAGCCGCTCCCAGCGGGCCTCCCACTTCTCATTCATCTCTTTCCTCCTGGACATCACCTGCTGCAGTTTCTCCCTGATCTGCGGGGAGGGAGAGAGAACAGCTCAGGCTCTGGTAACCCTGCCCCCTGTGTGAGTCGGTGCACAGAGATCCCGCAGAGACCGCTGGGCTTGGTCACACAGACCTGGCTTCGAGTCTTGGTCCAGCCACTGGCTGGCTGTGCTTCCTTGGGCAAGTTACTTAACCTCCCTGAGGCACCTCACCTAGGAAGCGGGTGTTGCCAACTGCAAAGCCTGCACACATGTCAGCAACAGGTGGGTTATTAACCTGCTCTCTCTACCAAGCAGCCAGCCCCTGAGTGGGTGTGGGGGGGCTCTCACACCAATGCTCCAGGGAGGAAGGAAGATGAGTCTTGCCAGGAAGCTGTCTGGTCCAGCGAGAGTGGGGCAAGGACAGAGAAGGCTGGCTGTCCCACCGCCCCCCTCACCTCCTCGGAGGCCTGGTGCTCCCGCTGCAGCAGGGACTCGCCGAGCTCCAGGCAGGCGTTGAAGTTCTTGCTGCGGGTTTCGATCTCCGCCCTGATGCCCTGGTGATACTTCATGAGCAGTTCCACTGAGGAGACGTCCCTGGGGGGTGGGGGCGGGGGCGAGGGGAGGAGGAGGACAGGGGCAGGGGAGAGAGTCGAGGAAGGAGGAAACGGAGGTGGCTCTGGTCAGCCTGATGCCAAGTCCTGCTCAGAGGGGCCGCCCTCACCTGCCTGGGGTCTGAGCCCCCCTCTCCCCCCACAGGAACACTGGTGCTGACTGATGCCCTGGTGTCTCCCAATGGCCAGTGGCCAGGGCCTGGGAGGGGCCTGGGACCCCGGAGGAGGCCTGGGGGTGCTATTTGACGATAACAAGGTATGAAGCTCTGATGCAGGCCACCACGAAGCAGCCTGAACAGCGTGTGCTCAGTGACAGCAGCCAGGCAGGAAAGACCACACATTATATAATTCCATTTATGAAAAAAGTCTAGAGACAGAAAACAGGTTAGGGGCTGCCAGGGGCTCCAATAGGGGGGATGGGGAGTGATGACGGCTGGGGGCACATGGTTTCTTTTTGGGATGATAAAAATCTAAACTTATGCCCTGACTGGTTTGGCTCAGTGGATAGAGCATCGGCCTGCAGACTTGAAGGGTCTCAGGTTCGATTCTGGTCAAGGGCTCGTGCCCGGCGTTGTGGGCTCTGGTTCCCAGTAGGGGGCGTGAAGGAGGGCAGGACTGTCCCTCCCAGGGCATCACTGTCCCTCCCAGGGCAGGACTGTCCCTCCCAGGGCATCACTGTCCCTCCAAGGGCATCACTGTGTCTCCAGGGCAGAGCCTCAGTGCAGCCTCTGAGACAATAAAGCCCGGAGTGGGCTGCCTTGGGGACGCCCCCTCACCTGGGCCTCTCCTGGGTCTCGATCTGCCGGATGATGCTCTCCATCCAGGAGAGGAGGTCGCGGGCCATGCTGAAGAAACGGAACTTGTCCGCCGTGTCCACCAGCTGGGTGCGGCGCCCGGCACAGGCATCAAGCAGTGCCTGCCACGCAGCAGACACCTCCCGCTCCTTGTCCTGGATGGCGTCCGCCTTTTCCCCAGCGTACGCCATCTGCAGGCGGGTGGCCACGTCCTGGAACTGCTGTACCTGCGATCAGGCAAACCTGGACATTGTCCCCGAGAAAGATGCATCGCCTGCCTCCTCCCTGCCTCCCCCTCGCCAGGCACCTCGCCAAAGCTCCTGCTTTGGCAGCTCTGCTGAGGCAATGCCCCTCCCACCCCCCATGGGTGCTCCTCATCCAAGGGGAGCGAGAAGGACTCTATGCCCTTTGATCTCCTCAGAGATATGATCATAAGAATAACTATGTGCCAGGAGCTTCTAAACACTTTAATTTATTGCTCCCTTCATTTTTACAACAGCCCCATGACAGAGGACTAGGGAACAGGCCTGTCATTCCTGTTTTGGAGACGAGGAAACTGAGGTACAGGGCGGGGGGCTAAGTGATGGGCCTGAGTCACTCACAGGAGCAGACAGGGCAGCTCGGGGTGGGGTGAGCTCCCACATCCCTGCTCACAACCTGCACGCTGCCTCACCAGACCCCTGTGCGAGGCCGGCCCGGGCAGTGCAGCCTCATCCTCAGAAGTCAGCGGGACTCTACCTGCCTCAGGGGCTCTGGCGCCCCTCCAGTTGGAGGACAAATGCCTAGGACGCCCCGCTCTGGGTGAACCAGAGGCCTGAGCCTGCTGGGTCGGTGCAGGACTGCACAGCAGCCCATCTCTCCTGCCACGGGAGGCCCAGCAAGTCCCCAACAGCCGGGCCCTCGCCCTGCACGTTCTATCACACTGAACTCTATAGAACCCACAGACATTGGCAGTGCCTCGGGGGGTACCCCAATGATGGGAGGAGGGGGGTCTAGACAGATTTGGGGGCTCTTCCAGGTCCCATGTGGAAAGGCCGAACAGCCCAGGGCTGAGGGCAGTCTGTAGTCAGACCGCAGGGTCTGCATCCTGGCTCCACTGCTAATCGCATGTTCCGACACCGCGCCTGCCCTTGCTAAGCCTGGTCCTCATCTATAAAATGCAGGGAGCATCATACCATCCTCAGAGGGTGGCTCTGGGGACCCAGCCAACCCACGTATAACGTAGAACAGCGCCCGGTGCTAGGAGAGCGTTGTGTATGTGTCTGCTAATGATGCTTAATACTCTGCACAACCAGAGAAATCGTATTTTAAGGTATTTTGTGCGCTGGGTTTTTTGTAAAGATTCAGTTTGAAGACTAGAAGCTGAACATCTGAAAGCCACTGCTCCTGCCTCCCTGCCCTGAGCGGCTGCTTTCTCAGGAGGGGAAGTCCCCTGCGGAGGCAGGAGAGGAACTGACCCTGGGGCCCCAGGAACTGGCCATGGGGAAGACGGGAAGGCAGGTCCTGGAACCTGCGGGGGACAGTGAGGGACAGAGGCACCTGCACGCCCAGGAGGTGGAGCTCCCGCTCGAAGGCCGTGTGCACCCGGTGGAAGGACTCGGCGGTGCTGGCGTCCAGCCCCACGTCCTCGGGCAGCTCGCGGTGCTTCTCGTCGATGAGGCCCAGGATCTCGGTGCCCGTGTAGAAGTAGCGGTGCAGGTCGTAGGAGGCGGCCAGCAGCTGCATGCGCGTGTCGATGAGCTCCAGCAGGTCCGCCCACATCTCGTTCAGCCCGTCCTTCCACTCGGCGATGGTGGCCGCCTCTCCGTGGCCCGCGTCGATGAGCCGCTCGATAATGGCATTCACATTGTCCACCCGCTCCTGTCCGATGGCCCCAGTCTCCCGAGCAAAGTCCCGGAATTTGTCCCGGAGCAGCTGGGCAGGGGTAGAGAGAAATGTGGTTATTGCCCAGCCGGTGTGGCTCAGTGGTCGAGTATCAACCTCTGAACCAGGAGGTCAGGGTTCAATTCCTGGTCAGGGCATGTGCCCAGGTTGCAGGCTCAATCCCCAGTAGAGAGTATGCAGGAAGCAGCTGATCAATGATTCTCTCTCATCAGTGATGTTTCTCTCTCCCCTTCTCCTTTCCTCTCTGAAATCAATAAAAATGTATTTAAAGATATATTTTTAAAAAATAAATGTGGCTGTCAGGGCTCAGGGATGGGTGGTGTCCTCACACTGGCGGCAGACTTTCCCAGGTGGGGACTTGGGCCACCTGGCGCCGCTCTCACACCTTCCTCAGAGCCCACTGCTGGGCCTGCACCCTGGGCAGCACTTTGCAATGGGCGGGTGTGCGTGTGTGTCTGGAACGAGGGCTCCTGAATTAGAGGAAGACGAAGAAAGCGGTCCGTGAGCACTCACAGTCACGTGGTCAAAGTCTTGCCCCATTTCTGGGGACGAGGCCACCAGCTCCTTCTCGGCGATCCACTGCTCCAAGTCGTCGGCCTCCCTCTTCAGCTGGAACAGGTGGTACATGTTCTCCAGCTTCCGCTTGCGCTCCTCGGCCATGTCCTTCAGCCCTGCATACTGCTTGTCCACTTGCCCTTGAAGCCTGATGATCTGCTCCCTGGAATTCAAAACAGAAAGTGCTCAGAGACGGCGACAGAAAACCCAGAGCAGCCAGCTCCGGGGGGCACGACCTACTCCCCCAGCCCGGCGACAGGGACAGGCGGGGAAACGTGGCTAGGAGCAATGGCAGCGACTTCTGGGAGGAGCTGGGGAGAGAAGGAACCATCCCTCAGCCATGATGCTCCAGGGGATGACAGAACGGTGTCCCCCTCGAGGTGGATGCTTCCCCCACTGCCCTGCGCTCAGGGAAGTCCAGAGAGACCAGTGCGAATGGGGCCGTTGCCATTACTCCTCCAGGCAGGCTGGTGGGTGAGGCCGCCTGAGCGGCTGCAGTCGCAGCAGGAGAGCAGCGTGCAGTACCAGCGGCCCATCCTTGGGCTCCCTGGGAGATGCTGAGGGGGCCGCTGAGGACCCACAGCTGTGGATGCCCTAAAGGCAGCTGAGGACAGGGCCATGACGGGGGCAGCCTGTGTGAGGCCCATGGGCTCCCATTCATGTAGAACCCCGAGGTGGGTACAGGTCTTCCACCTTCACCCCGCTATGACAGTCTTGCTGAGAGACTGTGACATCCTGAAGTGCCTTGTGGACCATAAAGAGAAGAGCAAGGCTAGTCTTCAGGGCCTCCTGGGAGAGTCTAACTCGTCAAAAGGCTGGCGCTCTCAGTTTCCCCAGAGGGTGGCTTTGCTGTCCTGTTTTCTGATCTCTTTGCAAACCAGACCTTAGTCAGCCCAGTTTGAAGTTACCCACACAAAACCAAGGCATGGAATGGAACCGGGCCAATCGGCGGTCCAGAAAGCAGTTTTCTCAAACCCGCATTTTTCAGGAAAACGGTTCCCGTTTTCCCACGGGGTCTGAAGGGATCCTGGTGGGTGGGAGCCCGGGGCTGACACCCCAGTTGCTGCACGCACCCCTCGGGGTGGCCCGCCGCGAGCAGGCCCTGGGCCCGGCCGGCCAGCTGCTTGATGTTCCGCCCATACTCCTCCACCGCGCGCTGCTGCCGCAAGTGCCGCTTCAGCATCACGATGGCGCCTTCTTCGTCCTAGGAGGCGGACAGCATGAGCACAGGGAGCGGGCGGCCCGGTCACAGCCCAGCTCCTGCAGGTGCCCCAGGTGGGGGAGAGCCAGGTTCACGGACACCCACGGGGAACTGCGCCCTCCTTTCCTGCTACTCATTTCCCAGCAATGCCCACCCCCCACCTGCCTCCCCAGTCTGATCGCTACCCTTCCAGGCCCAGCTCCACCTTTCTGTTCCGTGAAAACTTCCTCTATCCCTCCAGCGTTTAGAGCCCCCCCACCTCACCTCTCACCCCTCCCACAGCTGTTCACCAGCACAGAACCCATGGTACCCAAAAGGTGAAGGACCCTTGGGTTGGAGCAAATCTAAGTTGGCCGATGGGGTGCCCGGCTGCCGTATGTGCTCTGTAGAGGCTGGGCATCCTGAGAAGGAGGGCTCCTCGTACAGCCTTTCCCTGACTTCATGCCTCACGTACTTGATTTACAAGTTCCCCACTGACTGCACCGCCCCCCCCCCCCCCCCCCCCCCCGCCCAGCTCCCCTTCGCTCTTCCTCTCGGCCTTACACCCAGCCTGGCACCCCTAGCCTAGCCCACCTTCGGGGTCTCGTCTGAGATGACATAGAGCTCCTGCTCGCTGATCCAGGCCTCAGCCTCGCCCGCGTCCAGGTAGTACTGCTGGGCCTCGCTGGCATCCCGCAGGCGCCGCAGCCGCCCGGCCGCTGCCTCCCGCAGCGTGTCCCACGAGCTCTGCAGGTGGCCCAGGCGCTCCTCAATGTCCCCGCAGTCGATCTCGGCCTCCTCCACGAGCCGCTGGCCTCGCTGCAGCACATCCTCCACCCGGGGCGCGTGGCCCAGGATCTCGTTCTGCAGCGTCTGTGGTCAGAGGGGAAGGGCTCAGAGCAGGGGCCCTCCCACCGTGCAGGTGAGGGCCAGCCTGCAGCAGGCTGCCCAGGTGGCACCCTGGCACCTCTCACCCCCTCCCGCTCGGGGAAGCCAGAGCAGAATGGGTGGTGCCATAAAGCTGCCCGTGCCCACAAGCCAGGCCCAGTGCGAGGCACTTCACATCATTCTCCTTTCACCCTCAGTCTTCGGAGATAAGCGCGCAGACACTGGCACAGAGCAGAGGAGTGACTTGTGCGCAGCAAATGGCAGAGCTGGGATTTGAACATGGCTCTCCCTGACCCCAAGAGTGCTCTTGACTGCCCCCTCTTCTCCCTCTGTTTTAGCAGAGCTTCGTTTCTTAGTTGTACGGGACAGAGGAAAGAAACACCATCTTTAAATGGCCTTTTGATATCTTATTCTAAGAGCTTCCACGCCTATAAAACTACAGTTGACAGGTGCTCCTTGTAAGAGTTCAGGGTTTTCTTTTTGTTTTTTCCCCATTTCTATTTCTCAAATCTCTTGTGAGCTCTGTATTATTTTCATGTCTGAATCTTTCATCACCAGAATGGCATTTTCCTCCCACTCTGGGCATTGGGTCACCGTTTTCTTCAGGGGGCCATGACCCAGGTGCCACTCACGTTCTGGTCCTAGAGGCCTGAGCCTGGGTGCTTCTCAGCCCCTTCCACCTCATCTCCTCTCTTTCTACAACTGCCTGTGGCCTTTAAAACCATTTGGAGGGCGGGGGCAAAAGTAGGACGTGCGGGCAGTACAGTCACTGTCAGTATGTCAACTACATAGAACCAGCAACATCTACACGTCACCTAACTCTCTGAAATGCATTTTTTACATTCTCCCGTGGTCTGTGCAACTGTATTCAAACTACCCATGGGGTAAGCTCCGTTTGCCTCTACTTGCCCTGAGATCCTATGACCTTGGCAAGGGACCCCAAAAGGTCTCTCAGCCTCTCTCTCTCTCTCTCTCTCTCTCTCTCTCTCTCTCTCTCTCTCTCTCTCTCTCTCTCGATTGCTTTCTAGGCTCCTGTGCAGTGTGCTGACTTGTGATGTTTTCTTCCCTGACTTCATTCATTCAAAACATATTTATTAAGTTATTTCCTATGTACCAGACCCTGTTTTAGGGACAATGTGGACACAAAACCCCTGTCCTCATTAAGCTTACACTCTGTAGAGGAATAGATGGTAAGCAGGTAAATAAATGAGTAAATGCAGATAATGGTGCTCTGAGGAAAATACATGAGATGTGGTGGTTGGTACTTGAGCTGGGGGGGTCTGGCAGGGCCTTTCTGAGGTGACAGCTGAGTGAGACATGAGTGGTCAGTGGGAGCCCCCACACAGAGACCTGGGGGATGAATGCTGCTGGCAAGAGGGAGGAGCACGTGCTAAGCCCCTGGGGTGGAGGCGAGCCTGGGCTGTCCGAAGGCCAGAGAGAGGCCAGGAAAGCTAGAGTACCGTGAAGGAGGGAGGAAGTGATGAGAGATGAGAGGCAGGTAGGAGCCAGATCAGATGGGACAGTGGTTGTTGATCCTGGTTGCACATTGAATAATCTGGGAAAAGACACAGCCAGGGCCCCAACCCCAGAGAGCCTAATTCATTGCTCTGAGGTGGGACCTTTGCCTTCGCAGGTTTAAAAAATTCTCCAGGCGACTCCAATGTGCAGCCAGAGTTGGAAGCCATTCATGTGGCACCTTGTGGGATTTGTTCAGTTGTAGCGGATAGCCACGGGAGCAGCGGTTCTCAAAGTGGGGTCCCAGAGCAGCAGCAGAACCCAGAATCTTGACAGAGATGGAAATTACCAGGCTCTACTCCCAGTGTGACTGAGTAGAGCTGGCCAGGAGCCTGGTCAGCTATGTGCAAACCAACCCTCCGGGCGAGTCTGGTGCACACTGAGGTTTGAGAACCGCTGCAATAGAGGGGATGATGACATGGGGTTGGAGCCTTCGCCAGGCTTAGCCTAAAACAGTCTGCACTGGGCGGCCATGCTCGCCCTCTGGCTCAGAGAACTCTATTTATACTTGCCCTTTTCCTAAAATAGTAACCTTCAGCCAGGCGAGATGACCATCTTTTGGCAACAACACTTACTGGACAGGGTCAAAAGTCTTCAGTGTGAGGAGGACTACCACCAGCTCATTTTACAGTTGAGGAAACTGAGGCCCCAAGGATCCTGTCCTCTACCAGCCTCCTTCCTGTAAGTGGAGGTTGTGATGCTGACCCCCACCCTGCCGCCTTCCAGCCCAGGTCCCTTCGTGCGGCCACGGGAGCCTTGGTGGTCAGAGCATGTCAACTAGAAGCAAAGGGTCTGAGGGAGCTGTTAGGGACCTCCTCTGAGAGTCAGGCCCTGGCACAGCTGCTGGGCTCTGCGAGTCGATGCCGGCGGCTGTTACTTTGGGGAAAGAAGTACTGTCTGCTGTGAGCCTCCTTCCCAAGGAGCTGCAGTGCCGACTGGCCCTCTGGGACACCGAGTCCCCAGGCTCTCCTTGCTTAGGGCCTTGCTGCCCCCACTTCTTGACTCAAAGAGCAGCCCAGGAAGGAGGAAGGACTCTCTGTAGTCGGACGACTAGGCCAGAGGCAACCTCTCCTCCACCCAGAGCTGTGGAGACCAAAGGCAGGGGGAGGGCGGATGACAATCACGCCACCCTCGCCAGACAGAGGCACCAGAGCCAGGGCAGCTGGCCTTGGAACTACATGACGACTCTGATACAAGAGGAAGTGTGGCACCTCTCACTTCCAGGAGTCTGACTACAGTACGACAGAGCAGAACGCCAATGCAGGTCTGCTCCATGTAGAGGCTTCCTAATGGGATTTGAGCTCCGTAAGTCCTCGTGTCCAGAGAAGTGGGGCCTTCTCACCCCGAGGACACCCAACAGGCCGAGCTCAGCCCTGGAAGAGGGGGAGCAACCAGGAGCCATGGGCCTCCTCTCAGGGAGGCCATGGGCTACAGAAGCTGTAAATCACACTAACCCCCAGGCCAGAGCATCTGGGCCCTGCATTCACCGTGCCCTGATGGGTCTGAATGGCCCCAAATCTTGAAGCATCTAAATACTCCCCCACCCTGCCCGCCTGTGGTCCTCCCAGAATTCTGCCATCACCAAAGTTGTTCTTTTTAGGGGTCTGGGGACCCCATAGCTACTAACAAGACTAACAATCTGCTGTAGCTGGCCTTCTGCAGGGCAGGATGGGCAGGGCAGGGGCAGGGCAGGTCGGGTGGGATTGACAAGGTAAGGTGGTACTCACCTGGTTCTTCTTCATGAACAGCTGCACAGTTTGCAGATTAATGCCGTAGTCGGACGACTGGGCCAGAGGCAACCTCTCTTCCACCCATAGCTGCGGAGACCAAAGGCAGAGGGATGGCTGATGGCAATCCCGCCACCCTTTCCCGAGCACTCGCCGCGATCAGATAGGGCTCTGCTGCATGTCTGCCCGGTTCTTCCCAACCTCGTATCAGGAACCGCTTTTGCCCCCATTTTACAGACAGGGACATTTTGACATTTTGAATTGAGGTTCCAAATAACTATTTCCTGGTCACACGGGGGGAAGGTAATGTAGCTGGGTCGGGAACCCAAGTCTGTTTGGCCCCTAAGTCCATGGGTGAACTACCATTCAAAAGCACTGGCTTTCCTTTTACATCTAATGCAATCACCACAGCAATCCTGAGAGAAGGGGGTGAGATGACCGGACGGCTGCTGCTGAGAACTGCCCTGGGCAGCAGCCAGCTGACCTGACGGCAGCGGCTGCCTCGGCGGCTGGGGCTTGGGATTGGGGGTTGTGGCCCACGCACCGTCTCGTCCTCTAAGTCACGGCTGATCTGCAGCTTGGCTCTGGATGATTCCAGCTGCTTCTTCCTCTTCCCCAGGGGCTCCAGGAGGTCCAGGAACCGCTTCTCGATGCTCATGTCAGCACCCCCCTCTTCCTCGTCCAGTGAGGGCATCTGGGCGAACAGCTCTCCCAACTCCTCCTTCCGCACATTCACTTGGTCCTCCACGCGCTGGGACACAAGGGGACAGTGTTGGCACCGGCCCTGGCACCTGGGCAGCCACTCCCTCTTCTCCATCACGCATATCCCACCCATCCTTAGGGGCCCAGTCTGAGCTCAGCCTCTCCCAGCAAGTCTCCCTGGGTGCCCATTCTTCTTCCCCTCCCCGGACACCTGTATTTGACTTCTCAGGCCTGCTTTTACTAACCCGTTTTGGATCCTTGTCTTACCCACTGCAAAGGGGTAGCAGACGGGTGATGACCAGGAGGCATTTTGCACGATAAAGACAAGCCCGGTTAAGAGGAACTGGCTTTCAGGTTTCGGGTTTGCTCCCCAAGATCCCTTCTCTTCCAACACTCCCAGTCTACAACCCGCACACGTGCCTTCAGCTTAGCCAACATCCGGTTGACACTGGTCAGGTCCTTGCCTGGGTCGTCTGACCGCAGCTGGTCCTCCATGGCGCTGATCCACTTGTTGAGGTCGGCATGGGTCTTCGAGCGCAGGTCGGAGCTCCTGGCGGCGGAGAGCTGCTGGGCCTTCTCCTTCGTGGTGGCCTGCAGCTCATCCCAGAGTCGGTGCAAAGCCTCTAGCCTCTGGGACACCAGGGCTGCAAACTGGGGCTTCTCCTCCATCAGCTGCTTTCCTTCCTGTGTGGGAGGGAGGCGAGCTTACCGTCCAGTCTTGGAGCAGCCCTGCTCCAGATGGTTGCAAAGGTAAGGGGGGGGGGGGGGGGGCGGCGCCAGTGAAGCAAGGGATCTGGCTAGAACTTGGTGAGGCCCAAATGAAACACTGCACCCCCTGCGTTATTTGCAGTCGAAGGCGGGACAGGGGGAGCCGTGTTTTGGGCAAATGGCTCAGGCGATTGCAGTAGGGAGAGCTGCAGACAAGGGTCAGCTGGTATGTACTAAAATTTTTTGTTTTAATTAAAGAAAAAAGAAGATTCAGGATCCATCCAGGTACCAGCAGCCTGTGAGTTCCACCCTCTCGAGATCGCCTCCCCTGAGGCTGTGCACTAACTAACCTTCGGTGGGATCTTTCAGTTACTGACTTTTTCTCACCAGGTTTTCACCTGCATAAATGTATCTTTTCTGGGTGGGCACAGTATGATACGACTTGGGCCTAGGAATACAGACCACTCATAACAGTCAATATTTATTAAGTGTTTAACAATCGCCAAGGACTATTCTAAGTGCTTTAATGCTCACAACTCCCTCAGGCAGGGAGCTGCTATTACCCTCGTTTTACAGAGGAAGAAACGGAGGTGCAAGGAGATTGAGTCAGACAGCCTGGCGTGGAGCCTGCACCTTAACTACTGCGGATACGGCCTGGGGTGGCCCCTAGGCCTGCTTTCCCCTGGTCGCCACCGCAGGAAAGAGCAAAGGTGCCTGCTTCCAAGATCTAACTCCAGCCACATTTTCCCCTTGGGCCCCGGAAAAACTCATTACAGAGGGCCCCTTGCGTCCCCATCTACAAGGGGTGCGAATGACCACTCCCCATGGTCTGCCTGTCCAAACGGTGAGGGTCAGAGGACTGCCCTGCTCATGTCACACAGTCCCCTGTGCTGGGCCGTGGTGAGGAGCACAGGAGGCAAACAGAGATAACCGCTATTTTGGCGCTGGATGCTGCAGCTCTGATGCAGGTGTCTTCAGTGTCCTGGACTGTCCCCAGACGCAGGTGACCCAGAGGAGGCACCCATCCTGACCAGCTTTAACAAGTCTGGATGTATCTGAAGGTTAAGTACTATTCAGAGAAGTTTTTTTTCACTCCCAGGTCCTCTGGTGTCCAGCAAGCTTCAGGACGGTGCCTACGCCTGGGTAAAGCCCATTCCGTAAGCACGCCCGAGCACTCGCGTTACTTACCGCATCGATGCTCTCCAGCCACCCCTCGTGGGAGGCCAGCTCTGCCATGAACGCCTGGTGCTTCAGCCATTTGTTGTGAAGGTTTCGTGCTTCATCATAGGAGACATCCTGAGATGTCAGCAGCTTGTCATTGATCCAGAGAGTGAGCTGTGGGCAGAAAAAGAGGGTCCAATCATCCCTGAGTGTACCTCTTTGGCCAGGGGCTCAGAGCAGGACCTGCTGCCCCCCTCTGGCTGCAGAAGGCGGCACAGTGAAGTACGGACATAGCAGAGTACCACTCTCCATCTCTGGATCCCTAACTCCCAGCACAGACAACTTGACCCACATTGTCTCGGGGATAAAATATGGACTCGGGAGGGTCTTCTACACCAGTGTGTGCAGGGTGACAACAGGGACATTTATGCTTCTCTCCATATATCCAGGACCTAGGACAGGGCCTGGCCTGTTGCAGGACTATTAACTGGATGGATAAATCCACCCTTTAGCAGTGCGGTAAGAATCATTAACAAACATAGAGGACATGTTATCAGAGGAAGAAGCCAAGTGCAGATTAACAATGAAGGAAGCCTGGCTGGTGTGGTTCAGTGGTTGAGTGTGGACCCATGAACCAAGAGGTCATGAGTTCGATTCTGGTCAGGGCTCATGCCCAGGTTGTGAGCTCAATCCCCAGTAGGGGGCGTGCAGGAGGCAGCTGATCAATGATTCTATTTCATCATTGATGTTTCTTTCTCTCTCTCTCTCTCCCTTCCTCCTTCTCTAAAAATAAATAAAAACACATACACACACACACACACACCATCTTTACAGCCCTGGCCGGATGGCTCAGTTGATTGAAGCATCATCCCATACACCAAAAGGTTTCGATTCCTGGTCAGGCACATACCTAGGTTGTGGGTTGGGGTGTGTGCAGGAGGCAACCGAACGATGTTCTTACATCGATGTTTCTCTCTCCCTTCCTCTCTCTCTGAACATCTATTTAAAAAAACATATCCTTGGGTGAGGATTAAAAAACACACACATCTTTGCAGATACTTTGAGAAATGAAAGTATTGTGGAACCAAAGATTCCTGAGGATGACCCACACTGTCCAGTACCAACTTCTCCCGAGGAACCCGACTCAGAGTGAGAGAGGATCCCTGTGGACCTCTGGGCTCTTTGCTCCCAGAAAGGGCTCTTCTGCAAAGCAGCCGGCCTCGCTGGGCCTCACCTCCTGGCAGTTCTGGAGGAAGTTCTGGAGCTCCAGGTTGTCTTTCAGAAGAACGGAGGCCTCCTGAGCCTTCTCGTTGTTCTTCCTGTGCCTGGATGGGAAGCCAGAAGCCGCAGTCACAACAGGGCTGAGTCTGGGGTCCCCATGCAACACCGCCAGCCCCCCCTGATTCAGCCCATCACCCTGGGGGCGGAGAGTACCTGTCCTCAATCGACTGCACCTTCTCCTTGATCTTGTCTGCGTAGAGGTTCCCCTCGGCCACCAGCTTGTTTCCAGAGTCCACAGGACTCAAGACCTTATCCTGGTTATTCTCCATAGATACCAGGAAATCCTCGAACTTCCGGATCCCAGCCTCTGCAGCTTCTAGGGAGTCTGGGGTTTCCAAGTGAGCCAGCGTGTATTCCTGTTGAAGCAAGTTTCCAGACGCGGCATGAAGACAACCTGAGGAGGCGGTGAGGGAACCTGCCAGGCCGGGGCGCCATGTGCAGCCATGCGGGTTATATAAAGCGTGAATGATGCCCCCCAGAGCTGTGCAAGGGAGCGGTTCCCCAGGCCTTGCTCCCCGCCCCTATCCTCACCCTGGGGTACCCACAGTGCCTAAAGCCATATGGAAAGGTAACCGCCCAGGGGGAAATGCACTTCCCTAGCACTGACCCAAGAACAGGCATACTTTGGGACTAGGGCTGAAAGGGGCACATAAGAAACAAAGAGGATTGTCTCCCTAATTAGTGGCTAAAGAGAGTCCCAGAAAAGCATAATTTGGTCGCTGAGCACCTGTAGCACATTTGGAGACTCACCAGTGCTGTTGCCCTGAGAGACCACCCCCCCACCCCGCCCCGCCCTGAATACCTCCCTACCTGGTTGCTGAGGATGGCTTCAGCCTGCTTGGCATCTTTCTGGAACTCCTGGAAGCCCAGGCACTGGGCGAGGAAGTGGCCGCGGCTCTCCCACATCCGGCGCAGGGCGTCCCAACCGGTTCCCAGGCCCTCCAGCCGCTGGCCCAGGAGCAGGTACTCGGGGTCCGTCTGGCCACGGAGTACTTTCTCCCCAGACGCCTTGACGCGCTCGTAGCTGTCCTGGTGCCCATCGATCTCGTCTTTGATGGCCGCATGCTGCTGCAGGAGCTGCTCGGCCTCGGGGAGGGACTCGGGCGTGTCCTCCGAGGCCACGGCCTTCTGGGCCATGGACAGCCAGCCCTGAAAGTCGTCCAGATCCTGCAGGAAGGCCTGCAGCTGGCTGGCTTCACCCAGCGAGGCCTCCTGGCCCTGCAGGGCTTGCTGCAAGCCCTGCCACAGCTCTTCCACATATGCCTGCCGTCGGCCAATGTCCTCCTTTAGTTCAGGGTGTGACTCCATCAGCCACCGCGACTCTCGCTCCAGGGCACCCACACGGGTCTGGATGGCAGCCACGTCGCGCTCCAGCCCCGACAGCTTCCGCTGGATGGCGATGACGCCCGTCAGGTCCCGGCCCAGGTCCTTGGTGGACTCCACTACCTTCGTCTTGTCCAGGATCCACTTGCTGGTCTCCTCACAGTCCACGCAGTAGTTGTGCACCCGGAGGGCCGAGCCCACTGCCTCCCGCCGGTCGGACACCATGGTCTGGAAGGCCTGCCACCTGCGAGGGGGACACAGCGACACCCTCTTCGGTGACTCTTCCCGCGGGACGTCCCTTCCCAGATTTCCCACCAGAGTCTCTCCCCAGAGACCTTGCACACTGAGAAAGTCATCAACCCACCAAACTGCAGTGCATAAGGAGCATTTATCCAATTTTACCCAAGACAACACAACGCCAATCAGGTCTGTCCATCGGCAGGAGGCAAAGCAGTGACGTGACTCCAGCCATAAGCGGAGGAACATGGCACTTAGCTGGGCTCCGTGTGCAGCTGGATTTCAGGCTAACATACAATTTCCCAGATCCACTGAAATACTGAAAATGACTAGGAAGCCCACATTATCAACCTGAAGAGTGCTGCGGGGCGTAGGGTCCCAGCTGCCCTAGTGCCATGGTTGGCAAACTGCAGCTCGCGAGCCACATGCGGCTTTTTGGCCCCTTGAGTGTGGCTCTTCCTAAGCCTTAGGAGTACCCTAATTACGTTAATAACAATGTACCTACCTACATAGTTTAAGTTTAAAAAATTTGGCTCTCAAAAGAAATTTCAGTCGTTGTACTGTTGATATTTGGCTCTGTTGACTGAGTTTGCCGACCACTGGCCTAGAGGAACCATGAAGAGGCCTGACCCTGTTCAAAGTGCCCAGGGCCTGAAGGCCACCTTGGCTCTAAAAGCAAAGAGGTGAAGAAGAAGGAGGAGGATTGGAGGGGATAAACTGGGATTATAATGAAAATGAAGGAGAACCAAGATGGCGGCATAGGTTAACGCCGGAGTTTGCTGCCCTAAACAACTACTTCAAAAGTGAAACTAAAAAACGGAACGGACATCACCCAGAACCACAGGAACGCTGGCTGAGTGGAAGTCCTACAACTAGGAGGAAAGAGAAACGCATACGGACACTCAGAGGAAGCACAGTGCTGAAGTCAAATTCTGAGGTGCGGAGTGCGTGGAGCGGGCTGGCGGCGGAGGGCGCGGTTGGCGTTTTCAATCGGGAGGGAGTCGCAGACTCTGAGCTCCAGATACAGGCGAGTCTTTAGGGACCCAGACTCAAACGGGAGAAGCGGGACTGTCTGGTTTCGGTCAGAGCGAGTGCAGCTTTCTCTCTGAGCTTTGCAGTGGGTGCTGGGACTCAGAGAGGCAGAGCCCCTGGGGACAGGACTGAGAGCCGCCATAACTGCTCTCTCCGGCCCACCCTATTGATCCTGTGCGACCCGCCCCGCCCAAGCCCTACACACAGGCATTTGCCAGATAGCCTCAGGCAAAGGCTAGATTAGCACCTCCCTAGAGGACAGAAGTTCTCTCACTGCAGACACAGCTGATCCTCATAGCCACTTGGCCTGGAGGTCAAATCCTCCCTGGTATTAGCTACAACAATCAAGGTTTAACTATAAGACTGCACACAAAGACCACTAGGGGGTGCACCAAGGAAGCATAACAAAATGCGGAGACAAAGAAACAGGACAAAATTGTCAATGGAAGATATAGAGTTCAGAACCACACTTTTAAGGTCTCTCAAGAACTGTTTAGAAGCCGCCGATAAACTTAATGAGATCTACAAGAAAACTAATGAGACCCTCGATGTTATATTGGGGAACCAACTAGAAATTAAGCATACACCGACTGAAATAAAGAATATTATACAGACTCCCGACAGCAGACCAGAGGAGCCCAAGGATCAAGTCAATGATTTGAAATGCGAGGAAGCAAAAAACACCCAACCGGAAAAGCAAAATGAAAAAAGAATCCAAAAATGCGAGGATAGTGTAAGGAGCCTCTGGGACAGCTTCAAGCGTACCAACATCAGAACTATAGGGGTGCCAGAAGATGAGAGAGAGCAAGATATTGAAAACCTATTTGAAGAAATAATGACAGAAAACTTCCCCCACCTGGTGAAAGAAATGGACTTACAGGTCCAAGAAGCGCGGAGAACCCCAAACAAAAGGAATCCAAAGAGGACCACACCAAGACACATCATAATTAAAATGCCAAGAGCAAAAGATAAAGAGAGAATCTTAAAAACAGCAAGAGAAAGAAACTCAGTTACCTACAAGGGAATACCCATACGACTGTCAGCTGATTTCTCAACAGAAACTTTGCAGGCCAGAAGGGAGTGGCAAGAAATATTCAAAGTGATGAATACCAAGAACCTACAACCAAGATTACTTTATCCAGCAAAGCTATCATTCAGAATTGAAGGTCAGATAAAGAGCTTCACAGATAAGGAAAAGCTAAAGGAGTTCATCACCACCAAACCAGGATTATATGAAATGCTGAAAGGTATCCTTTAAGAAGAGGAAGAGGAAGAAAAAGGTAAAGATACAAATTATGAACAACAAATATGCATCTATCAACAAGTGAATCTAAGAACCAAGTGAATAAATAATCTGATGAACAGAATGAACTGGTGATTATAATAGAATCAGGGACATAGAAAGGGAATGGACTGACGATTCTTGGGGGGAAAAGGGGTGTGGGAGATGCGGGAAGAGACTGGACAAAAATCGTGCACCTATGGATGAGGACAGTGGGTGGGGAGTGAGGGCGGAGGGTGGGGCGGGAACTGGGAGGAGGGGAGTTATGGGGGGGAAAAATAGAGGAACAAATGTAATAATCTGAACAATAAAGATTTAATTAAAAAAAAAAAGAAATAAAAAAAGAAAAGAAAATGAACAACATAATCTTAATCTTTAGGTGCAGTGCTGGAGTGAAACTGGGAAGTATGCAAAGATCTGGCAGATGGCCTGGGGCCTGGGGTGGGTCTGCAGTGCCTAATAAGCCTTTTTTAAAAAAAATCTATTTTTCCTGATTTCAGAGAAGAAGGAAGAGGGAGAGAGAGAAATAGAAACCTCAATGATGAGAGAGAATCATTGATCAGCTGCTTCCTGCATACCGGCTACTGGGGATCGAGCCCGCAATCCAGACATGTGCCCTGAATGGCAATCGAACCTTGACCTCCTGGTTCACAGGTTGATGCTCAACTACTGAGCCACGCCGGCCGGGCCAGCCACTTCACTTTTGATCACAGGTTCCAGCTCAATCTCTGGCCCTGGTTGGGGGTGCATATGGGAGGCAACCAATCGATGTGTCTCTCTCACGTGGATGTTTCTCTCTCTCTGTCTCTCCCCTTCCCTTCCACTTTCTCTAAAAATCAATGGAAAAATATCCCCAGGTGAAGATTAACAACAACAACAACAACAAAGAAGAGCAAAGAGTCATCCTCTTCCTCTGCATAAACCTCAGATTACAGAGACATCTCCTGAGCTAGTCTGCCTCTTTGGATGCTGAGGCAATCGGCCTGTTGTAGTGGCTCCTAAGAACCCCCCTCCCCTGTCTCCCCTGCCTCCCTTTGGGCCCCCAGGTATCCCCACTGTGCTGATCCTCTTCTTCCCTAACTGCACCTCCCCAATTGCCTCGGGCAGAACAAAGCTCAGAAACAAGTTCGGGGAAAGGGACAGAGGCCATGGGAAGGCGGGGACCACGCGGCAGTGTGTGTGCAGGGCCCGGGGTGACCAGCAGGACACGGGCCTGTGTCCCGAGGACTCCTGGGCCACTGTGCCTGCACGGAAAGCACCCCCTCTCCAAGGGCTCCTCAGGGCCCGTGTTTTGTTCTGAGCGTGAAGTGTGCTCAAGGCTTCCTGCTAATTCTCTTCCTTCAAGCCAGCCGCAAGATGAAGACGCACTTCGGTACAGGCAGCAGCTTTCCTTTATGGGCAGTACGTAAGAGCTCTCAGAAAGCATTTTCCCTGCCTACGAAATGTCCGGGGGACGTGGCATGAGTACACGTGGCCTGATTCTAGCCACGGCCTCTCAGAACGTCCCCCCTCACACAGGATCACCATCCCGACCCTCAGGCACAGTATGTACAGCCGCGTGAACACATCTCTCTCCCTCCCTGGCCGATCACCAAACAGCCCCTCCCTGCTGCTACCACAGGGCGCAAGCCTGGCAATGCAGAGCAGGCGATCTGCCCTTTGGGCCACATCCCAGGGGTGTGTCAGGTACAGGGTGATGCCCCAGCTCCACCCACACCTCACCTGGTGTTCAGGTGGTCCTGGTACTGCTTCACTTCCCCACTGCGTGGGTGACCACTCTCTACCAGGCTGTTGGCAGCGAGGTTCACGCCATCAATCTGAGTCATCAACGTCTTCATCTCCTGGTCCAGGATGTCAAACCTGATATGGACAGAGACAGCGAGGACTGGTGAGGCAGCAGCAGGCGCTGCATTGCCAGTGGCCACCCAGTCTCCACATATGTAGCTTTTGCTTTCTCCTTCCACCTCCTAAATACATTTGACCAGGTAAGGGGTGAGGCTGAACACACCCTATTTGGGGGTTCATGGGCCCAGTTTCGTGGGTTAGCATTTCTTGGACCAACCTAGGAGAGAGCTGGTTCCTTGCTATACCGGCCACCAGCTCAGCAGAGAGGCATAGGGCAAAAACAAAGTGATGGGAGGTTAACCCCCCCAGAGACCATCTCCCTCAACTGCCCCAGTTGCTGCTCTTGGACCCCAATTCCACTGCCTTGACACCTTGACCTGAAAGATACTCACCAGCCAGATGCCCTGGCCCTGAGTAGGAGAAGGGACAGCTGCTGGGGGGAGGGGAGCCATGTAGTATGAAAGCTGACCCTCCTGGGGCAAGAGCCCAGGTCCCTCCAGCCTCAGCGTGTTCCAGGGAGGCACCTCCCCCTCCTCCACTCCCGGGATTCTGTACTAGGATGCACGGATGCACACAGGCAGGCCTCCATGCTGGCGTGCCACAGAATCGGAACACCGGGAGTGGCAGTGGCAATGCAGACCAGTGGTTTGCCAGCTGGCCTCTGTGGCTTCTCTGGGTTCTGTGGCCTAGGGACAGCCACAGAGAGCCAGAGCTGGTGGACCCCAGCCGCTCACCCCCCTTAACCAGTCAGCTCTACTTTCCTCTGCGTTGCATGTCAGGGGTTCAGTACATAATTCATTTGAACACAGGCTGCTATAGCTAAACAGTACTTGAATAACTGGACTAGAATGAGCCCCTTTGTTTATTTTGAAGAAGGCCGCAGGGGTGAAGTACCCAAAGCCACAGAGACAGATTGGAAACCTGGCCTCACAGACAGACGTTGGCTGATTAGAGGCTGTCCCCCCCAACCCTACCTCCCGGCAGAGGGGGAGTGCATGCCCCAGGGTGAGGAGGCGGAAAGGCAGGAAGAGAGGCCGGGCCCTGACCTGTGCTGCACGACCTCCAGGTCCTCCAGCGTGTCTGGGATCTCCATCTGGGCCAGCCACTTCTCCTTCTCGCCCATCCACAGCTCACAGGCATCCGTCTCCCCAAACACCGTGTACAGGTCCAGGGCCTCCTGCAGCTTCTGCCGACGCAGGTCCGCCTGAGCCACCACTTGCTGGTAGAGGTCCCGGAGGGCCTGCAGCCGATTGGTCACATCCGGGGAATCCCGAAACTCTTGGGGGAAGCCCTGGGCCTGCCGTTCCAGATGCTCCATCACGGCCCGGCTCTCCTCCAGCTCCTCCAGGAAGTCCTTGTGCTTCTTCCCCAGGGCCCGCGTGGCCCCTTCATCCTGACCCACGTCTTCTCCGGAGAGCAGCTTGTGAGCATCCTGCAGCCAGGCCTTCAGGTCGTCCGCGTCGCCCTGGAACTGGAAGAAGTTCTCGGCATCCTGCAGGTTCTTTTTGCGGAAGGCGGCCAGCTCCTTCAGCTGGTCCCACTGGGCGGACACCTCCTTGATGCGGGCCTCGATCTGCGGGTGCCCGAACTGCTTGCGCGCGACCATGCCCTCTGCCTCCTGGAAGATCTGGCCCAGGTGGGCGTCCAGCCCGCGGAGCTCGTCCTCGAAGGCCTTGTGCTTGCGCTGCAGGATGAGCACGCTGGTCAGGTCCTTGCCGTAGTCCAGGGAGGAGTAGATCTGCTCCTTCTCCTTGATCCAGCTCTCGGCCTCGTCCATCTCCCAGAAGAACTTCCAGAGCCGCTTGGACTGCTCCAGCTGGGCCTTCCGCCCGGCTGCCATGTTGCTCAGCTCCTCGAAGCACTGCTCCAGGTGGCTGACGCGGTCCTGGATCACCTGGGGGTCACAAGGCTGGTACCCTGGGAGGCATGGGAGGAGGACAGATGAGAGGGGTGAGGGCTTCATTCATGGGCGAGCTCCAGATCAGCTGCCAGGCTAGACCCCCACGATCTGGAACCTGCCGTTTCACTGAGCTTTGGGGTTGGATGCAGGGGATCTCGGTTGCTCAGAGGGCAGGGCAGGTTCTTAATAATTAGTCCCAGTAAACTTTCAGGGATAAGGGAGGTTAAAAGTTGGGTCAACTCTCAGTAGAAATGTACTACGTGAAATTATTTTTTAAAAAGCTTAGACACAGAGAAAAGCATTTGAGATTTTGCTCTCTATCAGGTCAGTTTGGGCTTAAATACACTCTTATAAAAATTAAAAAAAAAAAAAGCTTACATACAAATTTCAAGATGATTCTTCAAGGACACAACAGGGTCTCCTATTTAAGATCCGAAGCTATAAACCTAAATGGTCTCTGCTGTAACTTGAACCAGCAGAGAGGATGAAGGACGGATGATGTCTCATTGGTGCTGATAAATACCTTCTAATCACGGATTACCAAAGCGGTTGCCTGGTCTGGAGAGTTTTGCTATCCCTCAGGCTTCTTTCTTGCACCGTTAGCTAACGAAGGAGGCGGAATTCTAAAGCTAAGGAGATTTATCCAAGCTGGGGTGCCAGAGAGCTGAGCCAGAGGGTGGGGCCCTGGCTTCGAGGGAGACGTCCAGATTCTCACCTTTCCCCTCGGTGAACTGCAGGGTGGCCGTGTTGATGGCCTTCACTTTGTCTCCTTGGATGGCGATGTCAGCCTCCATCAGCTTGTGCTTCTGTAGCAAGTCCTCAACTTCCAACAAGTGCTTCCCGAACTCAGCGGATAAGAGGTGAGCCTGGCAGAGAGGACGGGTGGAGGGAATGAGGAGAGTGCAGAGATCTACACGCCAGGAGCAGAGACCCCACCAGAGGGGCGGGGGTCCAGGGGCTGGGGGGGGTCTGTGCAGTTGGAAAACAGCTGCTGCTTGGCATGGAAGGGGCTCCAGGGCAGGGGTTCCTACTGGGGGTGCCCATCGGAGTCATTCCTGGACAGCCATGCATGAACCCCCTCACTAGATCTCCTGCATTTGCCCAGGTTTGAGGCCTGGGCAGGTGTATTTTTATTTTTATTTTTTAAATGTATTTTTATTGTTTTCAGAGAGGAAGGGAGAGGGAGAGAGAGAGAAACATCAATGATGAGAATCATGGATCAGCTGCCTCCCGCATGCTCCCTACTGGGGATCGAGCTCACAACCCGGGCATGTGCCCTTGACTGGAATCGAACCCGGGACCCTCAGTCCCCAGGCCGATGCTCTATCCACTGAGTGAAACCAGCGAGGGTGAGGCATGTGTATTTTAGAAAGTTCTATGGTCACGCTGAGGTGTATGTGGGTTGAGAGCACTGTGGTGGAGGGAGGGGGGATTCAGACTTCCTGGTTGCCCCTTTGCGGGCAGATCTGGATGCTCCAGGCTCCTCATCAACCCTTGTCTCTGTAGACCCTGCAGGTTGGTGCCTGTGCTATTATGAGCCCAAGATTTCTCGATCATGGGGACAGAGTGGACCTGGGCTGCTGACTTTCCGGAGCAGAGTGGGCCAAGCAGTGGACAGGCAGATGCAGCCAGACACGGTGTTGCAACCGCTTCTCCATTCTGATTCTGGGATGTGGTTGGTTGGGAGGCGTCTAGGGAAGCATGTGCTAACTGCAGGGTGGGCACTGAGGCCCAAGGGGGGTGCTGGAGGTGGGGGATGGGCAGCCCGGGCCCACCTTGATCTCGTCCATCCAGTCGATGCTGTGCAGCATGTCCTGGAAGAGCTTCTGCAGCGCCAGGGTCGTCTCGAGTCTCTGGCGCCGGGACGCCAGCAGCTCCTGCAGGTAGCTCCACAGGCGCAGGATGTTGTCCTTGCGGGCCGTGATGCGCTTCTGGTCGTGGTAGTTCTCCTTCTCCAGCTCCTGGGCCAGGTCCTCCAGAGCCCGCACCCGCTCCTCGTAGGCAGCCGTGTCAGTCTCGATGGCCTCGTGCTTCTTCTTGGCGGCCTCCACGGCTGCCAGGTCGTACCCGAAGTTATCCTGCCCACAGAGAGAAACACAGGCCGCTCAGTCGGGCTCCTCCCCAAATGCAGAGAAAACCGCCGGTCCCTGCGGAACAAGGGCTGGGGGGAAAGGGCATTCCCAAGGCTGGGTTCTGCCACCTTTCCCAGCCACCTTATCAGAGCCAAGTCCCGGTGACTAACTGTCTCACAAGAACCTTTACAAGAAACTCGAGATTTCACTCCCTGTGCCATACCTGTGGGTGTGCTGTGCGTAGCGTACATTACGAACAGCCCTTCTTGGCCCCCGCACTCACCACCTGCCCCATTCTGGCAGGAAGGGGCTCCGACTCAGAACCATGCAGCTGTGAACAGCTGGTTCCGGGGTGCGCACACTCTCCAGTTCTCTCGGGACACCTGCTTTCCCCTTTCTGGGTGGAATTTAATTTGTTCCCAAGCTCCGAGTGAGCAGGGACAGAGACTGTCACGGACAGTCAGCCTGGAGTCCTTTTTTAGCCAGTGAAATAGGACCTGGCCCTAGAAGCCAGAGCCCAAAGGGACGTCCACCACACACAAGATGCGCTGTTTTTACCCCGCCCCCAGAGGACCACTGCCTAACGTGCACTCCAGCCCTGGCTTTAGTTGATGACAGGTTCAGGGGCCATTTTTGGAGTTGTGAGGCTCTTTCCCTAAAAATGAGACTTTAAGTCCTGCAGGCTCCTTCCTCCGAGGTGAATCTTGATCCACCCAGTCCTGGGGAGCAGGGCTGCCAGGCCTCGGAGAGGCTTATCCATGGCCACGGAGAGGTTTACCCATGACCATGGAGGTGCCAGCTTGGGCTCCAGCCCCGCTGACTGCTGGGGGCTCTGGAAGTGCGTCCTCCGTTACCTGGGCCACCAGGCGCTGGTTCTCATTGAGCCACGTCTCTCTCATGGCGGCCTTGCGGTCAAAGCGCCGGGCCAGCTGCTCCAGCTTTTCCTGCCGGATGAGCTCGTTTCTCAGGGCCAGCTCCCGCCGGTACTCGGCTTCCTCCAGGCTCTCCCAGGCCTGCAGTGGGGACAGAGCAGGATTCTTGGGGCACAAGAGGAACACCTGGATTTGGGGGTTCCATCTCTTTTGCCCAACACTGAGTGGTTTCAGGAATATAGGCTCCCAGGGGACGTTATCTGTACTGAATTCAGGAATGTCTGGGCCCACCGGAGATCAGGGAGCCCTGGGTATGAGCTCTCAGATCCCCCTTCCCCTAAACCTGCCTGGGACTTGACCCAGTATAATGTTACTTGTCTCTGTGGCTGCGCTGTAAATGGCTACTAGTAAATGGCTACCTCCGTTCTATTAGAATTTCTAGGGGGTATTAAGCATCTAAACCTTGGAAATATTAGAAGGTGTTTCCCTTCTGTTATAAGTAGCTAATATTCCATATTTAAAGAAATCCAATGTTCAACAGAGACGAGATTATAATAACTGACTCCAAAAATGGCTTCTGAGCATCTGATCAGGGGCTGAATTGATGGATGGACCATGGGTGGAGCTGACCTCTTAGAATTAGGTTCACAGCACCCAAAAGAGCCAGCCTATGTAGTTATTAACACCATGGAAAGTGGCTTGGTTTAGCCCCAGTGACCCCTCCCTGAGCCCTCCCTGAGAACTCAGTCACTCACTAGTAACGCGTAATGGGAATCACTACTGTACCCGGTTGATGTCAGACACTAGCTTCCCGTCGTGGGGCGTGTACACTTTCTGATTGTTGGCTCTCATCCGGGACTGGATGGTAAAAAGTAAGACTTCCAGATTCCCCTTCTCCTGAAACCTGCCGAGAAAACAGAGGTAGAGAGACACATGTGGAGATCCCACAGCCAACCTGTGTGAAGTTAGCATGGAACCCTGGTAAACTGGAGCTGGGCTAGCAAAGCATATTTCCTTAAAAAACAAAAAGTGAAAAGGATCTATAGGTGCACGTATCTGTTAAAACATCTATCATATGCACCAACTGAGATCTAACGGTTACAACCCAAACTGGAGAAAACACAAGAGCTACCACAGCGTTTGCTTAGCATTTGCTCCCCTCGGGGAATGGCTACCTGGCGTAGCCTGGGAGTTCCTATAGCTATGGAGTTTCACCAATCCATAAAAAGAAACTCTCCCCTATTCATAAATGAGGAAGGCTTCTGATTAGCTCTTTAGTCAGTTTTTATTGAGTCAGTAGGTCCTCAGAGGCAGCGGCATCCACAGAAGAACATATTGCATTGAAAGCAGCGTTCACCTGAGTCCTACTGAGCTGGCTCTCCCAGAGGCCAGCTGCTCCCAAGCGGGGAGGACAGGCTGGGTTCTGGGAGGATTTTAGGTATCGGAGATGAGACCTGGCAGCAGGATGAGGACTGGAACTAAGGTCCAGGCTCCAGGTAACTGGGTACTTTCCTATTTCTGCATGTATGCAAGCACCTACCCACTTCTACATCCTCCACCTGGCAGTGGAGGATCAGCTGTATGCAGGGTCTGCACGCTGAGGCCAGCCTCATAGGTCTGACTGCTCACAGGCACTTCATGAGGGCTGTGGCCCTGAGCGCCATCTACACAGCCCAGAGATATCACCCCTGTGTGCAGAGCCTGGCAGACCCACAGGGGATGTTATCTGTATTGAGTTCAGGACTTTCAGAGTGGCTTAGTGTCAAACCAGAAATCAGATACTTGTTTATAGTACATTCTAGATTCTGTGTCTCACCTTTCCCTGTTTGAGAGTCATGAATGAAGAGCGTGGAAGATGAGAGGAGGAGGAACCGGCAGAGGGTACCCCTGAGGAGTTAGAATCTGTTTCCAGAGAGCTGGGCAAGCTAACAGAAGGGGAGCAGGAATGCATGGTGTCTGTGTGTGCCTGCTTTCATGTGTGTGCACGTATGCACATGAGCCTGGATGGTTGTGTGTATCTGTGCATACGTGCACCCACCCAGGCCCTGAACATGCTGGGGAGAAACGGAAGTCCCGAGAGGCGGGCTCAGAGCTCTGCTGATGGGCAGTGACAGAGGGGAGAGAACAAGAAGAATGCACTTGGTGATCAACAAGGCCCCACACAGAGGGCTCTGAGGCTTGGAATGCAGAGGTCATCACCTCAAAATAAACACGAAGCTCAGTGCACAGACCAGAAAGGCACTCTCCAGCGCAGGCTCTTTGAAGAGACCGGGAAGCCTGAGATTTCACTGCTGCTCCCCCGTGGGGATCTGGGAAACTACTTTTTTGGCTACGAGTCAGGGGTCACTCCTCAATGCCCATTTCCTACAGGCTGATGGCTTGGGAGCAGGGAGGCCAGGACTGGATGAAGGAGGTGACAGAGATGCAGCTCTCTAGAATATGCCTCCCATGTACACATCTCAAGGCCCAGAGCCTGGCTCTGACTTTAGGCAGCTGGTTCTCAGCCCCTGATGCCCACCCTCCCTCCCAAGTGCCAGGACTTTACTTGGGCGGCTTCTCCACGGTGCGGTAGGTGCTGAAGGCCTGTAGCTGCTGCTGGACGCCGGTCAGGGAGTTGGCAAATTTGCGGCTGTTCAGGACTGTGATGGTCTGCTCGATCCAGGTGAGCAGGTCTGAGGCCAGTCCGCTGTACTTTTCAATCATCTTCTCTGTCTCAATGGCATGGTCGATCACCTAGGGAATCGCCTTATTACTCCTCCTCATCAGAAGAGCAATGGTGCTTCAGTGAGGACCACAGGCGAGGTGGTCCTTTTTCTCTCTGCCCTGGAGCAGCCCATGTTGGGCTATTCTCTGGGGCCAGGGCTGTGGCTCAGGCAGAGGAATGGCCTGGAAGTGCACCGGCAACCTCAGCAGGCAGCTGGCCCTGCTGGGGTTCAGGAGTTCCCAACTCTTCCCCTAACCCTACGTAAGAGTGGTCAGCTCCCTGTGCTAGGACATCAGCCACTAGAGGGGCCAAAATCTTGTTCGTTTTCAATGCACATTAGGAATGGAGGGCTTCCAGGCACTGTCTTTGCTAAGCACCAGGCACACACAGATGAATGAGGAATGGTGTCCACCCTCAAGCAGCTGAGGACCCAGCAGGGGAGAGGAATCTGGCATGAGGGTCTGCACAGTGGGGTGGCTTCCTGGTATACCATGGAGCCTAAGAGGCCTGAACCTACGAGAAACCAACAAATGAAAGAAAGCCTGTTTTGCTCCTGTGGGAATATTCATGAGACGTGGGTCTGCAGGTGGAAGATGGGCTCAGAGTTGCAGGCTAGGACGCCTTTCAGGACAGACTGCCAACCTGCGTTGGAATTCAGCATGGGAGCCATTACTTTGGCTTCAGAGGAAGTTGGTGGGGGTGACCTGCCCCCCACTCCCCTCCCCTAACTGCAGCTGGAGCCCAGGCACAAAGCTCTTGGCATGGGAAGGCAGCATCCCAGCCAAGGCCTGGATGGCAAATGCGGGGACACTGGTCACGAGACACTCGGTACCTTGCCGATGCGCTTGCCCTCCACCGCCAGCACCTTCATCTTGGAGAAGTAGTGGTAAAATGCCACCACGTAGGTGATAATGGATTTCTCATCAGGGTTTTCTGTGAAGACATCTGCAAGGGGAAAGGGTGCTCTCAGGGCTGACCCGGAAGCCGGAAAGGTCAGGCTGAGAGCGTTTATCTTCGTGTTTCTCCAGCATGAAGTTCAACTACAGGCACCGAGTGGCAAGCAGCAGGAAGAGTAATGGTCCGGAGATTTTAGAGAGGATGGACCATAAGTTATGAAAAAAAGAAGGACCCAAAGGCCAGATGAGGTGCCAGGAACCAACTGGAGCTGAAGGGCAGGCCCCAAACAGAGTCCTGGCCTGGCTGCCCTCCCCTCGCTATGCCCATGGCTTGCCCAGCACCTGGCCTAGACCCCTCCAGGTGCCCTGTCAGTCTGGCACTCCCTCCGGCATAAGAAACACCATCTCCCACCCGTACAGTTACGACTGGAGTGGGAACTGCTCACCTTCAGGGTCGAGGAGCGGTATAATGCCCAGCTGACGTTCGGCCACATCAAATGCATGCTCCAGGTTGTGTCGGGCGTTGGAGTCTTTCAGTTTATCAAAGTCGATCAGGTCAGGCCTGCGGACGAAGCCAGACCGTCAGTGGCCACGGCATCCCCACCAACAGGGCAGCCCTGGCAGGGTGCAAAGATGCTGGCAGATGGAGGGAGGTGATGCAGGGAGGTGATGTGAAGACCCTGGCAGATGGAGGGAGGGGGACGGGCAGGAAAAGTGGGAGGAGGATTTGGGAGTGAGGCAGGGACAGCTGTGAGCACCGGCACATGGGAAGGCAGCAGAGGGAAGTTAAGGGAGGCCGGGCTGCGGAGGGTGAGAGGAGGACCAGCAGAGGTGACATTCCCGTGAAGCTTGAACAGCAACCTACATGCTGAGTGCAATGTGTCCCAACACCTTCAGGGGAACTGCCCCTCCCCACAGCCCCTCTGCCCTCTTACCGGTGCTTGTGTATCAGGGCATTAAAGGCCAGGCCATCCTTCCAGCTGGAGGTGAAGTTGGTGACATTGACGTGGGGGTAGCTGCATCCAAAAGAAACATTAAGATTCTTTTCGGGTCCCAGACAAATGTATGGACTTAGGGGCCAATACACAGGAGAGGAATGGACCTGTCTCTCCTCAAGCTGCTTCAACATGAGGGCAGCCGTGAAGCCTCACAGAGGCTCCCCCATAACGTGGGCCCCAAAGACTCATACACCCAACAGAGCCCCCAGTCCAGCCCACACAGCTGTGGAAAGGAACCCTGTGTTCCCGGTCCCAAAGAATCAGGTCAGGATAGACTGTGCATCCACTACTCTGAAGCTGCTATAGTTCTGGGTGATGGTGTCATGTCCCTTGGGGACGGCAGTGCTAAGGGATGCAGGTGGGTGGAGAATGTGGCGGCAGCTGGCTCCCAGGGCATACCCTGCCGTCTTCATCTGACACCATAACAGCAACGCATCCTTGGCCGAGCGCGTCTCACGACCTTCCGGACCTTCCGGAACAACAATGTCCTGAATCTGAGGATGAAGGAACCAGAGGGAGAGGAGTTAGATTTGCAACTGGCTCATGCCTTCCTGCTCTCCATGGGGGGCTCCTTCCCTCTTTCCTCCTCCCTGGCCATCCGTCTGGCAGCAACACCACAGCCTGAGGCCTGGGTCCCAGTGGCCTGTTTCCCTGCCTCAGTCAGCGTCAACAACACACAGGGGCAGTGACGAGATGGCTCTAACTTGATAACTCTGATGGGATGCGGAGAATAAACACGACACCGGGTTCCTCCCCAGGAGGGACATGCCCTGCAAGGCCAGGAGCAGCACTAATGCTGAAGGTACTGGATTTGGATCAGGAGCTTCTCTTGCCTTTTCGTTCTACCCAGTCCTGAAGTCCTTACTGTTTAATCGCACCCCCGCCAACCCTCCCCGCCCCCCCCCCCGCCCCCGCATGGTAAGATGGGACACCGGAGAGCACTTGGCCGGGCTCTTCAGTCTGAGAGCTGTGTGCTGTACCTTCCTCTTCCCTCCCTTCCCTCCTCTGACGAGGCTCTTTCTGTCCCCAAACCAGCAGGTGGACGGTCCTGCTTCCTTCCCTCGAGCTTTCTACATTTCCTTATAAATAACAAACCTTGAAGTTCAGGGCGGGAAGAGAGAAGTTTCTAATTGAAACACATAAAAGCAGATCTTCTGCACTGTTTTTGCAGTTTCTGAATCAAACTATGTCAAAACTCGTAAAGTTACACATATGGGGGGAAGGGGACAAAAAGCAGATCTTCTAGACCAGCGGTTCTCAACCTGTGGGTCGAGACCCCTTTGGGGGTCGAACAACCCTTTCACAGGGGTCGCCTAAGACCATCGGAAAACACATATATAATTACATATTGTCTTTGTGATTAATCACTATGCTTTAATTATGTTCAATTTGTAGCAATGAAATTGGGGGTCACCACAACATGAGGAACTGTATTAAAGGGTCGCAGCATTAGGAAGGTTGAGAACCACTGCAGACAGACCTCAGCGCAGCCACTAATCCTCCCTCCTCCCTTACAGGGCCAGGCTGCTGACTGACAGCCTGCCCGGAGCTTCAACAGTTTGACGATGCAGAGGAGAGTCACTCCTTCCCACAGGACGGGTTTCTAGCCTCCCCAGAGTGTACACACACACACACTCCCTCTTTATTCACCATTTTATAAGATTCCCAGACCTGCCTGGCTCGGAGAGGCTCCCTCCACGCCCCCTGCCCTCTGGGAACCCACCTGGAAGCGAAGGATGATGGTCCAGATGAGGCCCAGGACCAGGCGGTGGTTGCCGTCCACGATGTCGTGGGAGCCCATGTTCTCCAGGTGCACACGCTGCTCCTTGAGGAACTGCAGGGCCTTGTCCACGTTCTCCAGGCAGTGGATGCGCATCTTCCCCTTCGTGGGCTTTGGCTGGGGGACAGCAGTGGCCCGTGGGCATGGAGGGACCTCACAGTGGCCGCAGAGGTGGCCGCAGCCTGCACCAGCTCCTACCTTCAGCAGCCACCCTCCACCCTCCTGGCTCAACTCCAACTCCCACACTCACGCCTTGACACTTTCCAACCCCATTCTTTTAGCAAAGTTCAGAGGTTCCCTCCCTCAAACACCCTGCAATCAGGCTGCATCAGTACTGAGCCTGGGGCTAAACCAAGCCTTCTGGATGGGTGATAAATGGTATTCAAACCCAATAAGTAACCGGTAGTTGAGCACTTATTGGGTATGTGCCAAGCACAGTGATAAGGACTATTTACTGCCAGTTGGTGATAAGAGTGGCTTTCAGTTTGGTGACTGATAATGGGTCTATCCCACCATCCAACCTCCTCCCTCCTCACCCCCCAATGGCCCCAGCCAAAATTCAAGGGGACCACCATTGATGGGTAACCTCATCATCTGAAGGGTTCCCAGGGGGTAATTCTCACTAGTGGGCTTTTAATGCAGGGTAAGAGGCAGAACTTAGCCTGGAGTTGAAAAGGCAGCAGAAGAATATGGTACCTTTTCACCAGACCCCAAGGATCTTAGATCACTTCATTAGGCACAGGTGTTATGTCCCTAGTTTTACACTCGGGGAAACAAAGCAAAGAAGGTCAGGCGTGATAGGCCCAAGGTCACAATGAAAGTAACTGAGGAAAACACGGACCTAAATCTGGTTCTCCCTCGGGGGCAACATTACTGCTGGTGGGTTACAACCGAGAGGGCCCGTATAGACTTCCATGCATAAGAGCAATGGAACACACAAGACAGCATCTTCCACACTTTCCCTTGGTTCCAAGAAGGATGCACAATTCTCCAGCTGGGTAATGGGAAGCCATCAGTCCATGTATCTCTCCCTGAGCACGGAGGTTGAGCGTGGCCATTGCAGACCAGCCACAGATGCCCAGATCCCAAGTGGAGAAAGTCAAGAGCTCCACACGGCTTCCTGGAGAAGCATGAAGGCTGGCAGAGGCCAGAGGAGGCCAGACATTCTGAGAACAGGTCAGAGAACCTAGCCAGCCACAGGGACACCGCACCTCATTAAGTATGAAAACCTCCCAAAAGAATAGGGAGAAACCTGGAAGGCCAGGGGAACTGGAGAGGCCCCCAGACCATATCTTTCCTGAAGGGGGATGGCCCCAGCCACAGGCCCCCGGCACAGCAAGGAGCGTTACCAGCATCTCTCCAGAGAGCACCTCCAGCAGCTTGATGAGCATCTGTCCATCCCGCAGGTCCTTGTAGAGGTCGGTGATGCGACAGGACTTGCGGGCCAGGTGCGAGTTCACCCATTTCGTGAAGGTCTTCTTCTGAACAACTTCTCGCTCATCTGTGTGGGGAGAAGAGTCCTAGGTTAGGTTCCCGAGGTGGGCAAGGTCAAGGGGCAATGGCATGGAGTCAAAGGGTTTTCTCTGAAACTCAGAGTCCCCCATCTCTGGCAAAGGAGGTTGATGTATCTATTCCACACCCTTCCTGGAAGCATTTGTGATCAGAGCATAGCCTTTTGGTAACACAGGCCCACGTGCTGTGACAGGGCCAATGAAGAGATAACTCCCACTACCCTATTCCATGCACAGTATCAAGACACCCGTCCTTCATCCATCTGTTTTTTTGTGCCAGTCAGAATGTTCTGTACCACCGTGCCAGTGAGCTTAGACTTCAATGCCAGCTTCACCAATCCAACTATTCAGCAAATATTCCCTCTGCTAGAATCGTCTCTTGACCTCTCCCTCACCCCACTCTTTCCCCTAAATCCTATTCATCCTTTAGGCATCACCCTGGCGGTATAAGATTTTTCTCCTTAAAGTTTCTTCTGACCCTTCACCTAGGTCAGGTCTCCCCTTGTGTGCCTTGACCCTCGCGTTTGCATTTCTCATTTATGTTTTGCTTCACACCTGTACTAATTTAAAGTCTGTCTTGCAGGCTTCTTGAGCCCAGGGAAGTCTGTCTTGCTCACCTCTATCTCCCCAAGGCTTGATGCCCGACACAGTGGCTACCCCATAGCTGTATTGTGGCTGAATGTACGGACACGGATTCAGCTCCTGCTGGTGCAGGCCTGTGCCAGCCTGATCACACATGAAGGGAAAACAAACTGTCTGTCTTCGAGGAGCTCCGGGGAGGGAGGAAAGAATGATGAACAAGGAGACAGGGAGACCATGTGCAATCTATGATCCGAGTGGAGTTGGGGATAATAGAGGCGTGGCCGGGGGGCTCCCCACGACTATTTCTCTCACACCCAGAATGGCAGGCAGGGGTTCTCCACCTTCAGACCCGGGAGCTGACATGACATCCCCAATCCTAAGTCAGCATCAGCCAAACCAGGCTTCTGGCCCACACCGTAGCAGTGCAGGCGGATGCCTCTCAGCACCTCTGCAAAGCCTGGCGAGCTGTCCAGTTAGGGCTGGGAAGCTTGACGAAGATGCTGGAGGAGGGCAGAAGGCTGGGCTAGGAGAAAGACTGGGGGAGGGTGAAAGAGAGAGAAGAGTGGTAGAAAAACAGAAACAAGGGGGGAGAAGAGAGGAAGAGGAGTGAACCTCCATCTGTTTGCTTTAGTGAACTGTTTGTGGTAACCGGCTTCTGGGCACTTTGGCCGAAGACTCCAGGCGGGAGCTGACTTGGCAGTGTGGCTGGGCCCGGGGCCCTGGAGGATCCCCAGGGTCAGTCGCAGCCAGGAGGGAATGTCAGCGCCTCAGGAGCAGGCTCACTGTTGTCTGCTCAACTGAGCCCCAACTGTGGGAAGGCTGGCTTCTTAAATTATTAAATATCTATCTAACAACAAAAAGAGAAGTCCAGTCAGCACCCCCTCGAGGGTACAATCCTGGCGGTTCCCGAGGCTCACAGCATCAAATTCCTTCCCCCTGTGTGGCTATTTTAGTGTTAGGAGCTCAGGTCCTTTATTCATTCACCCAGCAGATGTTTACTGTATACCCATCAGGTGCCAGGCTCTGGGTGGAGATGGGGAGTTCAAGGACAGGAAGGAGGGCTCCTATTCTGAGTCAGACATATTCTATTATAAATATGACGAGCGCTGGAATCGTACATGGAGAATTCAACGGCAGCCATCTAAATAAGACTTCCAAGAAAAGAAAATACTACAGCTAAATACACAAATCTTATGTAAATAAAACACTGAAGTGGCATTCATTCATTCTAGGACATTGGGCAAAGTTTCAGAGGGAAAAGACCCCTTACTCGTTTGTTGGCAGCGAATTAAACCACTTTCCTGATTTCAAGGACTGCTTCAGTAAAATACAACTAAAGTTTTGATGACGTAATTAACGGAAAGCAGTTACATTTATTCTGGGACATGTCTGGATCCAACAGAGTCTGCCGCAGTCCCACGGGAGCTGTTCCCCCAAACCCGTATCTGTTCTTTATTTAAAAAAATAGGTTTTTATTGATTTTAAAGAGAGAGGAAAAGGAGAGAGAGATAGAAACATCAATGAGAAGGAAACATCAACATCGATCAGCTACCTCCTGCATGCCCCCTGCTGGAGATCGAGCCTGCAACCCGGGCATGTGCCCTGATGGGGGATGGAACCAGCAACCTCCTGGTGCATAGGTTGATGGTCAACCACTGAGCCACACCGGCCGGACAACCCAGATCTGTCCTTTAAGAGACCAGCTCTTCCAATCAGTTGTGGAGCTTTTGACCAAGGGGCTGAACTTTTTAGCCCCTTTAGAGGTGAGTTACTAAAAACACTAAAGTCCTAGTCCTGGTGTGGCTCAGTGGTTGGGCTTCCTCCTGGGTACCAAAAAGGTTGCTGGTTCGATTCCCAGTCAGAGCACATGCCTGGGTTTCGGGCTCAATCCCCGGAAGGGGGTGTGCAGGAGGCAGCCGATCGATGTTCCACTCTCACATCAATGTTTCTCTCTCTCTCTCTCTCACTTCCTCTCTCTAAAAATCAGTAAGAAATAAAAACACTGAAGTCCTTTCTTCTCTCACTTTCTCTGTCTTTAAGAATCCAAAACTTTCACTACATGGTTGCTAAGACCCATTCCCCTGTGCCTAGCAAAGTGTAACAAAGTATGCCTAGCTGGGTGTGTGGGCTTTAATTCTAGGCTGCTGGGTTGGCCCATAAATCAGTGCGATGCCCCCGGTCTTCAGCACACGAACGATACCTCCTGGCCCTCCAAATATGGGAGGTGCAGGTTTAGAGCTCAGGCAGGCACCCGGGGTCCAGGCCTCCGTTTTCTTGAAGGCTGGGGTGAAGCTGCCTGGAATCCCCAGCACCTGAAACATGTGGTGTGGAGACATGGGAGCGATTCTGAGAAGCCATGTTGGCCACAGGAGAGAAAAGGCCCAGGGGTGGGGATTAATTTCCATTAGCTCGTTGGCTCCGGCTGCTCCACATTGGAACACTCAGCACATTCTCCCAGCAGGAGCCTTCCAAGTGCAGGAGAGGCTGTGGCTGGGAGCCAGCTGGGCTGGGAACCCGGGTGGTTCCGAAAGGCCCAGGAGGCGGCCGTGCATTGGGCCTGGTGTCCCCAGGGGGCTTGGGCTGCTCTGCAGGGACCTGCTGTGGAAAGGAGGCCTCAGCCAGGCCTGTCAGCACAGGCCTTATTTCTAGAGCCCTAACCCTGCCAGCACAGGAAAGGAGACAAGCCTGCCAGCATGGCCTGACTCGGATCCACTCGTGCCTCTGCTGCCATCCAGTCCAGGGCCTCTCCGTTCCCATTTGTGTCTCTCCCTTTCTTTCCCAGGCTGTGGCCATCCTCATTCCTGCCTACATGTCAGGCCTTCCCCAGAAAACTCTGACCAAGGAGCTAGAATTACTGTCTGGGCATCGTGGCTGGGTGGTCTTTCCTTTATATCCCCTTCAAAGGTTTAGTTTGAGCCCTGGCCAGGGTGGCTCAATTGGCTGGGCATCATCCCATGCACCGAAAGGTTGCCAGTTCAATTCCCAGTCAGGGCACATGCCCAGGTTGCAGGCTCGATCTCTGGCAGGGGTGTGCAGAATGTTTTCCTCTCTCTTTCCCTCTCCCTTCTTCTCTCTCTAAAAATCAATAAAAACATTTAATTAAAAAAAAAAAAAAAAGGTTTGCATGGCTGGTGTGGCTCAGTGGTTGAGCACCGACCTATGAACCAGGAGATCTCAGTTCGATTCCCAGTCAGGGCACATGCCCAGATTGTGGGCTTGCTCCCCAGTATGGGGAGTGCAGGAGCCAGCCAATCAATGATTCTCTCTCATCACTGATGTTTCTATCTCTCTCTCTCCCTCTCCCTTCCTCTCTGAAATCAATAAAAATATATTAAAAAATAAAAAGGTTTAGTCTGAGACCAAAACTCAAATACTTATCCAATAATATGTGAGTTCATACATGGAAAGTGCTTAAAACAGTACCTGGCCTACAGAAAGCTTGCTGTCATGTTAACTATCATCGTCAGCATCACTACTATTACTATTACTATTAATTACTATTACTATTATTACATGCAGGCCCATCCTAAATGCTGCAGGGAGCATGAGGCAGGCTCACTCTCCCCAAGGGCCTCACAGGCTAGCTGAGGAAATAAGACACAAATCCACAAAAGTTAATTTTGCAACCACACAAGAGATAAAGGGCAGTTCACTTTAATAACACAGAAGCTGCCACCAGGTAATATTGGATTGGTTACCAGATAAATGGCACAGACAATAAATGGTTGGGGTCAAAGAGGAAAGAGGTCGTTTCTAATTGGAGTCATCAAGGGGCGTGGGGAGGAGCTCAGGAAGAAAACCCGCTTTGGACAGGCAGAGGAGGAGGGGAGCAGGGAGGCGGGATGCGCCCACAGAGGCAGAAAAGGACAGCGCTCACTCGAGGGGATACTGAGTAGCTACAGGTAGGAAGAAAGCATGTCGAAAACTAGATGTGGCTTTAAACTAGATGTGGAAAGCCTTGAATAAAAGGCTAAGCAGTTTAGATTTCATTCTAGAGGCAAAAGGAACCACTGAAGACGCGGCAGGATTATTTTCTGAAATATTAATTTGTAGGGCTTCCCAATGATAGTAAACAGACAAAGTGTTTCAGCTTAAATTTAAAAAGAAGTGTACAGAATGACAGATCTCAGAGGGAAGGGGGTAGAGGGGATGGGATGAAATTAACCAAAGAACATATATGCATATATGCATAGCTCATGGACACAGACCATAGAGTAGGGAAGGCCGGGGCCTGGGTGGAGGGGGGTACAAAGGGGAGGAAAATGGGGAATAGCTATAATATTGTCAACAATAAATAAATTAAAAAAAAAAAAAGGATTCTGAGGCACACAAAAGGTTTGAATAAGTAGAAAAGCATGCCCAGTTCTCAAATAGGAAAACCCAATATCACCAAAATATCAGTTTACCC